CTGTTTGTTTTGTCGCGGGCCCGCGCGCCGACAGATGGTCCGCAAATGCCTGGTAAGAGAGAAACAAACAGAGTCTGTTGAAAGAGAGAAAGAGAAATTGGGTGGGCGTTGATGATGATGCTTGTGTGAAGCTATCCCATGTCCATGTATTTACACATCCACAAAGCTACATTATGTATATAAAAGCCAAAAGGACTTTTATCTTGCTCCTGCAAAGGTGCAATGCTTCTGCTACAATTTTCTGCAATTTTTCTTTTTTTTCCTCGTTTTTTTCTATTTACGTCAAAGACCAGAGAATGAATATAGTGATGTACATGCTCGTTATTCCTATCTACAGTATAGAGAACAGAGCAAAAACGACATGTAGACTGCGTAGTGAAAAAAGTCTACATACATACACGTATACAGCAATAGTTACGAGTCGTTTGTCGCTCGTTGTATTATTATTTTCTTTTACATTTGTGAAATGGCTTTTACCTGCTGGCCTGTTAGTGGTGTCTATTATATTGTTAGACGTCAAACAAGTCAACCAAGATCTTAGATTCAATAAGATGAAAATTTGCACTGTAGTTATTAGGTGAGATGCCGCTGACACCAGGTATTTTGTTTTGCTTCTATCCCAGTTGGAGATTTTATCCATCATCTAGGGTATTTCCTTTTTTTTTCTTCACATATTCCTTTCAGATGTATTTATACGTACATATTTTGTAGATATATATCGGTGTAAGAGTAATCAAAACTTGTTTGTCTGATGGATAGATAGCTTTATCGATTCGCGAAAAAGAAGCAATTGAAAGACTGCGCACATGGAACATGTGCTTGAGTGAAGTATTTAACAAGACTGAACGTGATCAAATGCTGAGAGAAGCTTTGAAACAAAAACACCTGTAGAATTCACTAGAGTATGAGCTTGAAATGTAGCTTTTCCCTCGAGCCTCCAGTAAGCGCCACTCACTAGATTTATATCATACAATCCACCCTCTTTAGTTGCATCAACCCTGACACAGATGGCGACATCACCCCAAGGGTGTAGAGATAAGCATGATCAATATACCCTTTTAGTAGCAGATAAAAACCCACAATCGGTACAGTCTTCTTTCTATCATATTCTTTTGGTTGAATTTTTTGCTTGATTTCTCGTAGTAGGGAGAAGCGATCTGTTGTTTGAACTTAAAGCTGAGAAGAGAACCATGTCGTTATATACCAAGAGTTTTAGCTTCACCACAACAACCAAACTCGGCGAGAAGCCGCGTGTTGTTCGCGGTCGGTGGGACGATCGCGATCCGGAGATAACGAGCCGATGGTTTCTCTATATGCGCATCTAACAGATTCCTGTACGAGCATAAAGAGAATTTCTTGGATCATGTGGCGCCAGACCAAGTATAGTTAAAATGAAAGTAGAGAAAAAAGAAAATTGAGGAATTATTTCTCGATGTGTATATATCCTTTGCTTTTGTTTGGTATCATCGTCTTTCTATTCTATAAGGATCGTTAATCAGATTTTTTATCTTCCTCTCTACTTCTTAGGATTAGTAACAACATCTTTATAAGATTCTAAAGCTATATATTGGCATCAATAGCAAGTGTTTTTTTGTATGCTTTATATATCATCTCTCACGTCAGACGGAATTCTTCGGCGTGTGTTATAGTTTCATATGGAAATTACGCCACGTTGATTTTATTTATTTTAGTCAACACAACACACTACAATCTCGGAGGTCTCTTACAAGGATTGTAAGGTATGCAGCAGGGTCTACAATTTTTTTCTCCTTGCCTCACGCTTTAAATCCTTTATTTTTATCTCAAGTATCCTCGTGATTGGCTGTGTTTTGTTTCTATTATCCCCTAATTAAGAGCCGTTTCAAAGGTCATCGTGAGAGTGAGATAAAGACAGAACGAATCGCCACCGCACCCGTGCGGTCTTTCCACGAAACCCAAGACCAGGTCTCGTAGTAAGCCTATCGAGCTTTTAATTCGATGACAACGACGTTGTCTCGCCAGGTCCACTCGGCGATAAGATAAAAACAAAGACGACAAGAACAGGGACGAGGTAAAATATGTCAAACTCAAATGAATCTATCTTGTTCTTTTATCCTCCGACTTCTTGACTCTTCCACGACGAAGGTATGCTGGAGATACGATCATCCATGATCAAATGAGCTATCGATCTACATAGATAGGTCTCGCATATTCCAGAATGCTTTTAGCGTGAACGCGTGATCAGTCCCTTTGCTTGACACTAATAGGCGTACCATGTCATTTTTCTTCTTGCTTTCTCTCTTTTTTCTCCACCAAACTCTCTGACTCATTCCCATGGATCTCTCACCAGGACATTTGTCCTCTCTAATACTTATTATTTTTTCATGACACAATCTTAACACTTTTTTCCACTTCAGCTGTCAATATATTTCCAGTAAGAGCTGTACAATTTCTACCTATATATGTGTGAACAAAAAAAAACACAGTTTAGCTTTTTGGTGATTGTTTTTTAAAACACCATGACCTGTCTGAGAAACCTCGAATTGATATTCGGTGTGTAGTAAAATATTGGATTAAGTCGAACACTACGAATGGAAATAACCGATGGAATATAAATAATTTGTTGTAAATTTATTCGAGCATGAAAAGAGCCGGGAGTTTTAGGATATAGGGAGGAGCAGGAGAACACATGAGTAATGCACTGGTTAAAAACATATACCGTTGAGAGGGTGTGAGCATATATAAAATGTAGTATGAAGATGAGAAGAAAAAAGGCAAATGAAGGAGAAAAAGAGATGGTGAAGAGGAGTGTGGATGGTGTCGAGTATGGAAATTCGTATGGCGCACTCGTGGGATCGTCGCGAGGCATTCGTGTGAACCTTCACGACTTTTTTTCTTCTTTTACATTCTATCTCTTGTCCTCACTCTCAACCACGTATGGCCATCAACAGAGTCAAGATAATAGAGAGAAGAAAAAAGGGAGAAGGTGAAAAAAAAAGGTTAGAATGATGGACCACCGGCGATCGCGCCTGGTGGTGGTCGCGCGTGTGCTTTTTCTCTGTCTTCATTTTACTCAACTGTGATATACTTTACCCTTTAACCGAGACTGTTACCGCTACGCGGCTTTCGCGCAAACGATCTGCCGACCTCCGCCCAAGCTAATTGCTAATCACTACACTCAAACGATCTTCATCAGCTTGGTCTACCGCCTTCATGATTTTCTCTTATTCACTCACTCTTTCTCTCTTTCTAGCTTTCCTCTAAACTAGTAAGATTGAACCTTTTAAACTGAAGGCCGCATCTAAATGGCGCGACCAGGTAGAAACGAATCTACTAAGCAGGTACTGAAGGTCCAAATACTCTTCAGGTGGCGAAAATAATCGATGAAACATGAGACGATAGCAATCGCAAGTGAAAGGAGTGAATGCAAAGATTTTCATCCAACTATTGGTAAAGTTTGGAAATGTTCGAAAACTTATTCTTTTGAAAGTAAAACCCCATCAAAAACGATTTACTGGCGTGCTCTGTTAACAGGAAAAATCAGGTGGGTCAGAAAGAAGTATGAGTGAAAGGATTCCCGTAGGTCCCCCAGCTCTTATATTTCTTGGTCTACAAATCCACCGGTAATCTCTCTCACTAGTGATTCTTCTCAGGAAACGAGCGCGCGACTGATCCGACAAAAACCGATAAACGGATCTTCTTTCAATGCCTCTGTTACTCCATTGAAGAGGATAGAGTTTAGTAAATACCACAAACCTATTTCTTGACAACATATACTTATTTATAATTACTTGGATACACAAAGAATCATTTCAACGACTTTTTTCAACAACTCAACTCTGTTCCCATAATATTATATATTTTTGGAGTGGAAAAGTTCCTTTTCCACGGTTCTTAACTATATAACACACCTTCATTACCTTATGCGCGAGCCAAACCCCATAATTTTGTGCCATCTACCGACAATGCGTCATTCAGAGGCACTTCGGATCGCTGAGTCGTTTGTCGTTGTCGGACAAACGCGTCCAAGTCCTATTATATTCCTTTTCAACGGTTGAACCTCGCTTGGTCAACCGATGTGTGTTCCATTGGTGACGAAATTATGAGGCAAAAGGGAGAGATAAAAAGGCGGATAACGATCCATCTACACAGCCTAAATGGAATTGAAGAACAGTTGTGTGTCTCTCGTTATATATTACCATCAACCTTTTGTCCAAAATTGAAACCAACAGCTATTATATAGATACATTAATGCTATTAAGTAAATATTGCCTAATCTATATCATCAATTGGTGAGCTCTATTGAGCATTGCAGTCACTTGTGAATTCCTTTGATGAGAATCAATACGATTATCCTGGTCACGTAAAAATCCATCACCACAATTTGGAGCAATCGATCAAGCATATATACAAGCATCATCAAGATTGACCGGCCAATTTTACGCCACTCAACGTCTAAAACTATTAAGGTGCTTTTTTCAGTGCTTCTTTAGAGAACTACCTTAAAAAAGGGGCAAAAAGAAGGACGAAGAAAATTGTCAGCGGATGTAAACGCAGTGAAAAACCACTATTGAGGATTGTTATTGTTCTGATATTTATCTTAGGGTGAATTTTCTCCAAGGTAGAGAGCTACCGGCTTCTATTGTCCAAAAAAAAAAACATTCTTCGTTCAGCTTTGACAAATAAGCGATTAACAATGTGAGCCACAAGGGTAGATAGAGATAGAGAAAGAGACAAACTAGCCCTAACTCATGTATATAAGTCTTTTAAAAACCACACAGTAGATGTAAATACAAGAAAACGATGGCGCAGAAAAATTTTAGGATATTGCTTTTACCCTCAAGATTTTTAGATAATCCGACATACCAATGGTCAGCTATTATTCCGAGTGTATTCAGTTGTGAACTAGCTTGGTCAATCGTTCGACTTAACTATTAAATAAACTAAACCATAAAGCATAACATACCACATTGACGAAGTCTTGAAATGTGATGGCATCCGTATGAGATTCTTTCACTCGAGCCAGAAGAATATCTCTCTTGTTTACTGGGATCTCCGCTCTCCATTCTGAACTTGTTAAAGCTTGCAGAAAATCATCCCTTGGTATTTCTCCAAACCCCTCCGGATCGAATTTGTCAAATAACATTCGCCATTTCTTGTTGTTTTAATTAAAAATAAGATTATATTAGACATAAGAAATTAAAGGGGGACAATGATCAAATCATAATCATTTCAAATAATTAAAATTCATAATCAAAAAAATTCTATCTTAAGTCATAAAATATTAAAAAAATCTGTTTCAAGCATAAAAATTTATCATAAATTTGTTTTTTAATGATAATAATCAGAACATTTATAACATAAATATAAACATTTAATAAAAAAGAAATTGAAGCGAAAGAAAAAACTAATTTATCGATTACTGTACTTAAATAGTAAATTCATGAAAAATTAATCAACTACATGATAACTTTGTATGTATTATTTACGTTATTAAACATAAATTATTCATCAATCAAAAAAAGAACTTAATCGTTAAAATTAAATACAGTATATTTTTTATACTTACATCATTTAATAGCTGGCGTCTATATTCAGATTCATCAATATCAATCTCTGACCCAAGATCAGTATGATCAGTTACATAGCCGTCATATCGACCACTATTAACTTCACTGTTGGCGTACTCCTCTTCGTCCACAATACCAGCAATCGTTGGTATTGAAACTCCCTGGGCCAACAGCATTACTGCAGTTCATCACCGGTTCAATAGCTTCCACATTTTCAACTCTTCCCTGTTCGATTAATAATTGATATCATTTTTTGAATAAATATATTGGACATTTTATCAACAATCAATAGCAAAAAAATATTATAAAGTAATAATAAAAGTTAAAAAGAAGTTATATAAATAGCAAATATCAAATGTATACTAGAAAATGAAGTAAATTTTAATATGAAAGTAAATAAATTTTTAATAACATCTAAAGAAAGGAAAATAAGAATGATGAATTTGCAGTAAAGGAATACGCACACCAAAGCAGTTGGTGGTGCGGTTACCATGACGATACGGATTGCTTGGCGCACGGCTTTAGCTATCTTTCTACATAACATGCGAATATATAGAAGGCAGAGAGAGAAGCCTAACACGTCCCTGACCCTCCAGCATCATCTGCTATATAGCTTAACAGAACGACGAGACTTTCCCCTCAGAGTTTTCAACCCCTCGACTTGTCCAACCCTACGAATCCCCTAAAAGTATGTACATACGCTACAGTATGACGCATTTACCACTACTGAATTCATTTCTTTTCTTCTTTGCAACCTGATGCAGCTTCTCTTTTAGTTTATGACTGCAGAGGCATGTGTCCAATTCCTCTCTTTGGGTCCAAATGTTATAAAGCCATCCCTTACACCTATATATATACCAAATTTTCACCCCAAGTCTTGGATCTTCCACCCTCGACATAAGGTATAGCAAACCTAAGACGAGGGCGACGACCCTCAGCTACGATAGAGAATTCACTCTCATGCCTGAATCCAAAAATTGCCTTATACCACGTGTTAGCATAACGATTTATTGGCTGTAAGAGATAGTAATATTAATTAAACATTATAAGATTAAAGATGAGCAACATAAAGACATTTAGACTGTTTACCTTGAATCATTACATAATTTATGTATGTAATTGTGCAGTGTCATATAAGCAAATGAAATAATTTTCTTTGCTATTTCCAGAGAACGACCCAGATCTCTACAGTTATTCGATTCTTTTGCCGTTAGTTATAGTCACGCGATTTCACGACAGCTAAAGTTTACAGTGTTGCAGTGCTATAATATTATACTGTCAGTAAAGAGAAAATTTTGCGGCTATCCCTAGGCCAACACCTGCTCTTCAATATCGTCATGGTATATGCATGCATGCAGTATATATTTAGCTAACGTGTTAACTTACTTAGCATTCAGAGAGGACTAAGCCAATTTAGAGGATGGAATTCAGAGTCATTGGAGAGTTGAGTAGCTACTGCATTCGTTAGCTACAAACTTATTTTGCCGCAATGATTGAAGTAGTTCTATTCTTGCAATAACAATCATAACTGCTATGATTCAGTTGCTTTTCTATTGCTTATCTTCTTTCAATACAAGGATATTTTCAGTAGAAAAAGTCAGTCTTCAAGTTAGATTTGTTTATTTGTTCCTTTTCTAAGGACGGTATATGTGTATTGTATATTGTTTTTTGATGATATTGGCAGTGAGAATAAAGGTGATCATAAGCCAAAGGCACAATAATCGGACGGATGTACAATGCACATGGATACGCGGACACGCGCACAAAGGATTGGCGTTAAAATGCGTACACCACGTGGAAGTACCAATAAACAGTCAACTCGCGACGTAGGAGATGTACTCCGCAAGCGTCACACGGCTACTGACGATAACTTTACCACCCTCCCACAATTTCCGCAACCCCACCGTCCCTAATGCAAACGCCAGTCCCTGAGAGTCGTTCGAACCCCTATTCTTGATATATTTCCTATGGCAACAACGCTTACCGCACTTGTATGTGTACTTCACCTTCGCACGAGTATTTATATACTCATTTCCCCGTGGCATCAAAGTATCCAATTTAACTTTAATTGAAATAGAAAATCGGACGAATTTACTCGGAAAAAAGCTCAATTTATTTTAATAATGAGAATAAAAAGTCTCTTGTATTTTTCTTCGCTTATTCATAATGATTATTGTGATGATGTACTTAAATTTTTTCGGAAACAAATGAAAAATGACGAACGCGTAACAAAGGACAAAAAATGAATTCTGTGAAGTCAACTAACAAAAGAAATTAAGTCGAGAACGTTCATTGGCAAGCGATTTGCAGTCGAATAACTTCAATTAATGTTTTGAATTCTTTAGACAGTACGCGGGGGCGCCACTAATCAAATGAAATGGCTCAATATAATTACAGTATATTTATCCAAGGTTAAAATAAGCTACAGTTTCTTTATGTTATCTAATTGAAGGTTAAGTATTGTTGTTGTTTTGGAAAAAAGTGTTATAAGTAAAAATTTTACTTGTTTTGAAATAAAATTATAAGTAGAATACATGCGAATATTAAACAGAAATATTATCTCCTGAAATACTTTTAGTTAACCCAATAATAAATTATCAAAACATTGGTACTTTAATTTCTATTACTTTTCCATTTAAATTGTAAAATACTTTTATTTCTGCATTATAAATAATTATTTTATAAATTTTTTGAAAGTGTTAAATATTTATTTAGAATTATTTCATTTTCAGATATGGGATCAAGGCTTGTTTATACAAGCTTGAGCAGAATAGTAAACAATTATGTTAAAGCTGCTTGGAATTGCAAAAAATGTCAAAACATTCATGCTGTGTGTGCGAAAAAAGAAATTGAAATAGATATTAAATTTGCTGGAGTATCTAAGTACTCAAGTGAGATTCCAAAAAAATGTTGGCAATGTAATTATCCTTTTAAATCAGAACTATTTTGTAAAAAATGTCAAACCCTTCAAGAACCACCTGATCAAATGGATTACTTTGAGATTTTAGGAGCTAAAAAAAGTTTTGATGTTGATACCAAAGAAATTCAACAGACATTTAGAAAAATGCAAAATATACTACATCCTGATAGATTTGGAAATAAATCTGATGTAAATTTTTTGTAATTTAAATTCATAATGTTTCTTTAAGACTTAAATTTTTATTCATTACTGAATGTTTTAAAAAATTTAATTCGCAGAAAGAAAAACAATACTCTGAATACTTATCATCATTATTAAATAAAGCTTATTCAACACTCACCAATCCTTTAACTAGAGGTTTATATTTATTAGAATTAAATAATATGTCTATACCTGAGGGTAAGACTGATTTAGATCCCAAATTTTTGATGGAAATTATGGAAAAAAATGAAGCAGTTGAGGAAGCTGCTAATGATCAAACTAAAATTGTAGATCTTGCAAAAGAAAATAGAAAAACACTAGACACATTATCAAGGTAATTAATTTTTTTAAATGGTAAATAATTTATTGTTTCAGATTCGATAATATTAATTTTTATTTTTTAGGGAAGTCGCTGAAGCTTTTAAAAATGACGACATTCAAAAAGCACAACATATATTACTTAAAATGAAATACTATGCAAGTTTAGATGAAAAATTAAAAGCTCTAAAACGTAGTTTAGGTATAATGGAATAGAAAAATGTTAAATATTGTTACATTTTATGTATATATGACTGGAATTGAAATATGAAAATATAATATAATTCATACGTTTTATAAAATATTTCAGCCTTTACATTATTCATACAATATCATTATCTTTCTTCCATTGATCAAGCCACTGGCATACTCTATTAATATTTTCTTCCATTTGTTCTGAAGTGTTGTTTTTCAACTCATGAACGATCTCATCTTTGTAGGATGCTTTAGCTTCTTCAAGGATCGTTTGAAATATTTCACAATCAATATTATCCTCTAGCTTCTTACCCTCATATCCTCTAGCAGTTAAACGGTCATATAAAATGGTGTTATCAGTTCTAAGAACAAATACGATGTCAAACCATCGTTCCGGAAAGAAATCAGCACCATGATAGTCCACGATATTTCCACCCTTATTCATAAACTCTTCCATAATGTCCAGCAACTATAAGCAAAACATAACCCAATCAGATAAAGTATTGTTTTGATATAATTTCTCATGAGTTATATCTCAAAACTGCTGACATAAAACACTAGATAAATTATCATTTATTATCATCTTTAAATAGTTATTGTTTATTGTATTTATGTGACTATTAAAGTTAAGTATAGCAATAAATAAAATTCATTGTTATACTAATTGTATTGATGTTTCAATAATAATACTTAGATTCTTCAATATAAATTCATTTATTATAACTCTAGAACTAATTTGATAATTTATTTTTATTAGTAATAATTTGATTTACCTTATCTTCATCAAGAACAGGGCATTTATAAACTTCATCGTATTCTTTTAAACATTTGTTTTCATTCGCTAATTTACTAACATCTCGCCAAGTAAGACCCGTTTTTCCTGCTAATTGCTCTGCCATAGTACTTTTACCTACTCCAGGAGTACCTAAGAATCAAAACAATAACGATAATCTGTCCAATTTCTTCATAAATCTCTGAATAAACAACACGTGCAAGTGAAATTGATATTATTGTTTACTTACCTGTAATGAGAATATTTGGCAAAGTTCTTTTGACACTCGGCATTTTAATGTTTATCTATGAATTTGTCAACAATACTCTTTATGTCGATATGGGTAACAGTATTGTTTTTTCTTCTAATATAATACACTTATTAATTTTCGTAAGTCACAATCTTACAGTAAACAAGATTCTAGCACAAATGAGAGGTTATGTATGAATTGCTTCCCGCATCAGCTGATACCAACAATAGAAAGAAAACAACGAACTTGAAATGCAAAATAAACATAAAGTGTCATTATTGAGCTCAAAATGTTAAATAATAAATAAAAATATAAACTAAAAGACCATATAAAACGATTAAGATATTTATTTTATTGACTTTTTAATTTTTATAAATTATACATTAAACTTGAATTTATTTGACGTTTTACTACAGAAAAGTTACACACAAATAGAGAAGAACATATAATTTAGCACATTATTCAATATTCATCATCTAATACTCGATTACATATCATCATTTCTAACATTCAGATTTAAAACGAAGAAAAAAATTACAATATTGTGATATATAATTTTTTATAATTTTCTATTGATTTAAATTATCTAATAGAATATTCAGTGCAATGTTTTAAAAAATATTGTACTCATTTCTATGTTTATAAAAGTAAAATAATTATTCATTTTTCTGATTTAAACTTATTAATGCTGTTAATTGTTAGTATTGTAATTTATTGTATATTCTAGTACTGTATTTGATACTATGACAATATTGACCATCAATTCTATAGTAATCACAAAATACTGTCTGAATGTTAACGTCCAATTAAATAAGTTTATAAATAAATAATTATAAAGAGTTTAAACATTACGTAGGAATGGAATTGAACTTATTATCAATTAGTTTTTAGAATATTTTAGTTCACAATCTTGTAGTCTAATCTAATAATATAATATTTAAATAATTTAATATTTTTGTACAAAAAACTTTCATGTCATAAATCCTTTTCATTATGATAATTCGTCGTATTTTTATTTAAGATAAAATATTATCAAATAGTTAATTGTAAATTATAGCAAAGTAAGTACAGACTTTGAATCTTAGCTTCTGAAACTATATTGATCCATTCAAAATAAAAGCAAAAATGGCATCAATTATTTGTATAAGTTGTATAATGATATTAATAATAATATATTTATACATTTATTCTTTATGCATATATATATAAATATATTCATGTATATTTTAGTTTTAGAAATGCACTCTTAAGAATATTACATCTAATAAACACACATGATGGACAAGAGACGGCTTATCGTACAATAATTAACATTTAAAAATACTCAACAAACATTTTTTTGGCTTTTTCCTTAACTTTTCATACTTTAATTAATCGTTTACATGATATCAATTTATAGCAATATTCCTAGCAAAAATTTGTTCGAATATTAACTTTTTTTATTAACTATAAATAACAAAAAATGAATCCTTCATGGACTGGATTCAAATTAATTAATTAAAATTGACCGATTGTTTATTGAGATAGTTTAAAATTTTTCATCGTAATATAATAAAAAATAAAAATGTTTTAAAAATAATACAAATAACAGGCAGAATGTAAATGTTTGGCGGACATTTAGTTAGTTTGATTTTATAGATAAAACATCTCATTATCAGACGGTTGTCTCTCGGAATATTTTAACGGACGAATCTGCATGTTTAATATGGATATAACGTGTAATTGTTGCTGAACCATTGTTGTATGAGAACTCTCTTGAATTTTGTAATGAATCACCATTTACTTCGCACTCATTACATTCCACGATTTCTAATACAAATAATTTATAATATATTATTTTTCTATTTTTTACTTTTTTTTTTTTACATTTTATTAATGTAACTAGTTAAAAAATTCAATAGTTACTGTTAATATGAAAAGAAATTAAATTAAATTAAAAACTTATTTACACATATTGCACATTAATTTCATTTGAATCATCAGAAGTAAAAAATTGATATAAAATTAAAATAATAAATAAGATAAAAATTAAAAATAATAAGAAAAATAAAATGTAAAAAAAAAATTTAATATTAAGGTATTAAAAGAAAACGTTCAACATTTAACATTCTACAAATGTGCACATGCTACAATAATAAATGACACTTTTCAAACAACAATTCTATTACACATTTTTGTTTTTATACAGAGAAAATATTATCAAGAAAATAATTTATCAATAAAATTTTCTTTTCATTTAAAAAAATAGAATTTTTACAAATTGATAAATTTATCATTATTTGGAAATGTTTGGAAATTATTTTATTTTCTCTGTAAAAAATAATGCATCCAGTGCACTTTTTAACAGCAAAATCATCTAACATTTATACTAACAGTTGTGTTAATTATTCAAAATCAACATAAATACATTTGACCATTAATTTTGCTCTGAAATAAGAAAAGTTAAATGATTTTCATTTTATGAATATATTAAGGTTACTTGTTTACTGAAAAATGTTTTCTCTTTTCAGTGACAAAGCAAAATTAATAAATTAATGTCTTTTTCATCAACGAGGTAGACAATCCAAGTTCAATCTCGGAAGCAATGGCACCTACATCATATTCCAATTTTTCAGTCTCTTCATAATATTTTTTTTTATCTATTCTTTGCTTGATTATACTTTTATGAACTTTATACAAACGGATAAAATTCTCTTCAACCCTGTTACCTTTGGCAGTTTAAAAAAAAAATTCATCAGAATTTCAGTTAACTGAAAAATAAATTATTTACACTCTCTTCTATTTAAAAAAAATATAATAAGATAAATAATCAGCTTATAATACAACAGTTTTTACACCTTCCATGTTTTTTTAATAATTCATCTTTATATTTCGTTGTCTCTCTAAAACTTTTTGAATTATTTGTTTCTATAAATAAATCATCAATTAAATTTATTGATTCATTTCTTTCTATCTCATTTATATGAAATTCTTGTCTCGTATCATTCATATCAATAACTTCAACTTTAGCAAGAACATGTTGACATTCAGAAAAAACTTCTACATCATCAGCACTATTCTTTATTACACTTATATTTCTTATATTTTCATTTTCTTCCACATCTTTCTCACAATTTTCATCAGGACATGTCGAAATTTCATTAGAAGAAATTCCTATTGATCCACCATGAGAAAAAGTATCTTCTACGTCTAGAGTATCAACGCCACTATCTTGAGTCCTAGAGCAAATTTTATCGTTTTCTTTTTCAGATTCATGCCTTTCTTCAGAGGTGTCTAATTCGAGACTAGATCCTTCGCCACTTGTAGCATCTTTATCTTTGTTAAGAGATTTTCTACAAAGTGACAAAGTAAGTCTATCATCTTCTAAATCCATTGAGCTTTCATTAGATTGGAAATTACTTGCATTAATAATTGCAATACGAGGAATAACTAAATGGCATGCATACTCATCAGGAGTAGAATTAGAAGACGATTCAGATGATCGTTTATTTAATCTCCAAGATTTTCGCCAAGAGATTTCACTGTTACATCGGTTCTCTCTTAAACTTTTACGACTTGGATGATATGTCTCGGGCCAAGAATTAAGTCTATACTCGACTAGATCATGTTTATATTTCTGTTTCTTAGCTTTTTCTTCATTCTGTACAATTAGTTCTAACTTAGATTTAAGAAGTGCTGGAGAAACTGCCGTATCAAGTCTTTTTTTATAACGGACAGATTTTTTAACTACATCTTGATTTGAAAAATCATTTTCTTGGGGTTCAGGTTCAGTTGATATCACAAATGCACTGGGACTTGGACTGTCCATGCTATCTGGAGTATATGGATCATGCTCAATTGGTAATGCGTGCAAAAGCTTCGGTGAGGAATAACGATCAGTAGTTCGTAAATTAGAATAATTACTACGACAGTCAGGCAACAACGACAATAACTCCAAGTAATGCTCGGGCACTCGAAAACACATTTGAGGAGATGACGAACAGCAATTTATCATACCTGCATTGGAAGATATGACAACTCGTAGATAGACTGGCTGGAAACATGCGAAAAAAACAATTATTATATACATTAGATGAATATTAAAATTTCAATTTTATACTCCATTTAATATTTAATTACAGAAGCATATTTTTAATAATTATTTCAACATTATTATCTCAAACGTTATGTTGAGTTAAAATTTTTTAAATTATTATTAATCACATACTTCTGTATTTGAATGGAAGCTTAAAAATTCATAAGTATTCATAGATTACAATTTATTTGTACATGATTACAACAAACAAAGGTTTATGAGAACATGCAAGTGCAAAAGATTAAGTTATTTATATTTCTCTTTATCAAATTAAATTATCTATAAATGTAATGATCTAAAACAATCTAATTATCGAAATAAAGGGTCAACTTGATCAGTTTGGTATTTAATTATGAGGAATAATGTAAAACGCGATGATGTTTTGTATCTAATCCAATTGAATTCAATTAGAATTACTTGAATGATACTAAAATAAAATAGTAATAAAGACGATGATAGCGAGAATGTGATGTATACTATGTATTTAACTAAATAAATGAAAACTTTTTTTCAAGCCTAAGTAAAAATTCAGTTAACACTAAAAAAAATTAATTAAATATTCATGAATACCAAGCTTAATAACAACTGTAACAACATATGAAACAAATCAAAAACTTACATTTAAATATGAATGATTAGGACAAAGTTAAAGTATTTTTGAAAAATTAATAATAAAACATTGAGAAAAATTAAGTCAACAGATAAAACATGAGTTAATAAAATAAATTAACCAAAAGCAAAGAATGAAAAGTAGATAGAAAAGTTCGTATTAGATACCTTTAAATATTCAGATATTCATTCGAAAATCCAGAAAAACAGGCTGCACCATAATTATCAAATTTTTTTAATCAGAGTAAAAACAAAAACTGTTGTATAGTAGTATCTCGTATAAATATTCACGTAAGTTTGTTATAAACGAAAAATATAAAAAAATAACGATAATGAATAAAAGTTTTTCATTCATTTTCTCATTCTCTATTCTCTATTTTCTTTATTGTCTATTTCGATAATTAACTAATGAAGTTGACAATTTTTAGTTTACCTTGTGATCACCCATACATGTATTTGGTCCTATTATCCCGTAGTTCACAGCATCGGGGGACGAGATCTATTAAAAAACATAAAATAAATAAATTACTCACTTTTTCAAAATCAATATTATAAGTCGATTATTATAAATAAACTTACGTCTTTGACTAGTGTTTTTGCAGTGGAATTTAAGAGTATTCTATCACACCAAGCTGGTACTCTAGTTTGCATATAAATGCTTCCTTGATTCACATCCTCCTCGAACGGATAACTTGGCAAAAAGTCGATCGGAAATTCAAAAAGCCTTCCTTCAAAATCTTCAAGCTCGCGATCATATTCTCGCAGCTTAAAATAATATATCAGGATGAATTTTTTTACGAGTGGAATCTATATTGAAAGTATTATCAAATAACAATAGCTAATATATTTACCCATCGTCCACCATTCTCAACAAATACTTGTCGATGTTCATGATGAGAAAATTCCTTTTTTCCCAATGTCAAGATCAAATTATCTTCCTTATTGCGGAATTGTAATTTAGAAATACTTCCCTTGTTCGATAATTTACTTTCAAGGGTATCTTCAGTAAGTTTCTGTGAAGAGTAAGAAGTTAAAATTAAATAAAAAAAGTTTGAAGATAAATATTTTCTTATATAAAAACTTTACTACCTTAACAACAGATGCTGTGTCAGTCCGAAAGTTAAAATCACCAAAAAGGAAATATGGAACATTTGGATATGGATCATTATGGAATCTATCCAATGTATGTTCCAAAGCCCTTCGTCTAGTTTTACTGTATACTGACGGAAACTAAAACAGAATATTAATTTGAAAATTGTTTAAGTTGCTCTTTGATGCTAACAAGTTATTTATTTTTTTTTATGTTTGAAATTTTATTTTATTCTCATCAAAAATGTCGATAAAGTTCTAGATTGCAGAGAGTGTACTTGTAATTAACGATCTTTACTTTCCATGTTTCATACTTTCATCAGATACTCAACTGACATAGAAAAAAATTATAAAACAAAAATAAACCAAAGATAAGTTCAATAAACATATGGATACTCACAGTTTCCATGGCAATGAAATTACTCGCATCATGAAACAAGTGTATATTGATAAGATCAAATACTGTTCCACTAATGCTCCATCGAGTTCGTAGAAATCCCTTTCTTGACCATTTGCATTCAGGGAAAAAATCTTGTGGAAATTTTGCTTTTTCTTTTGTTGTTACTGATTCAATATTGCCAGAATGTACTTCTTTTCCAGTTACAGGAACAAATTTAAATTCTATGACAAAAAATTTAAATCAACCATTTATAAAGTTAAACTTTACAAATACTCTTCTAAAACTCGTTTCAATAAAAAATCGATATTTCTAACAAACCTTTGAAATCCCATAGTAAAACGTCTTTTACTGATTCATGGACGAAATAAAAATTACCGAGAGCCTAAAAAGTAATAAATAAATGTATTATTCATGAATTGAATTTTTAAATCCAAATTTTCTGAGAAAAATTTATTCTTTTTCTTCAAATAGATCTACTTTAAATTTGTTTTATGATTTATTAATTACCGTAAAATGCTCAGCAGAAGAAAAATCTTCGTCTAAGAATACAGATACTTTATCAAATAGTCTCAATTCTTCGGAAGACATAAGTAATCTGTAACAATAATGTAGTAAAATATTAAATAATCAAGTATAAAGAAAAATAACAAAATGACCTAATAAATAACGGTATTTAGTAGATACACAAGTGTATATATATTTATATTTATATATAAGAATGTATGCATTGATTTTTTAACGTAAAGATACTGTCTTATACTGTTTTAAAAATGATTTTCCACGGTCATCTACTGTAATTGCATGGTACTCTTTGAAGACACTTATTCAACCATAAAGCAAGTATTGCTTATTATCTATTTTTACAACAGCCATGCAATTCGTGCGTTAAATCATGTCATTTTTCTTGTCAGAGTTTTTTATAGCTATCGACGAGATTTATCTGATAACCTGATAATTAATTAGTTCAATTTTTTTTTTTAATAAAATTTAATTACCTAACGAAATCTTCCACGTGACGCATACTTTGTTCATAATTTTTCCCACCGACTTCTTGGCAGTGTAATGCTATAAATTTTGGATCCAATCGTGATACAGTCTGTAAATTAATAAATAAAACTTATTGGATTATTTTAATGTAATATTTTCATTTAATTAAAGCTCATAGGCATTAAGTTATATAATAATTATCTATCAACAAACAAACATTTTTTTAAATACAATTTTACTACTAGTTAATTATAAGATATTTCTTAATATCCGTTATACTTCATTACATTAATATTTATGGGTTTTTTTCTTGACAAATTAAACTTTATTAATACTAAATTTTCATCTCATAATTCTACCTTTATCTTCTTCATTTTTGCATGTACATGGGACATAAAATCTGAATTTTTGAGATACGTAATATTTTCTACAATAGAGTGATGTTGAAATTAAAGTAAATGACCATAGCTTTGTTATTATGCGTAGTCTCATGAATACCATTTATTTTAATTATGAGGACAAAGCTATGTCCCAGAAATTAAGTTGATGAAAATGTTGATATTTACCTTAATTACTTATTTAATAAACAATGAATATTTATAATCCAAATGAATTTACTTACAGATAAAAACTCCTCGGTCCATATTTTTAACATAACTTCAGGCTGAAATGAATGGAACAATTGTCAATGACTTTATGCATGAATAAAATAGAAAAGTAATGTTTTTAAACAAATTTACCTCTTCGAAGATGCTGCCAACATTAGCAGTGATGAGAAGAACGGGAAACCCTGACATGGCGTTTCAGTGAAAAAATTCAATTTATATACTTTTTTTTAACAAATTTTAAGATTTTTGAAAAATCTATCACCAAATATTAATGAATTGGATCTTTTATTCGAAATTGAATTGCAATTTGTACGCGTCTTTTCGTAACATTCCACTGAAAAACAAAATAACAATAAAATCAAAATTATCAAAAAGAAAGCTTGTTAGTGTTACTTAATTATTTTTATTCTTATTCTTCACCTAATGTAGAAAACTAGATCAAAGGGTTGACCTGGGTCACGGTCGTATTTGTAAATAAATTACACCAATTCATCGAAAAATGAATCCTTGTGATAAATTATTTATTTGATGAGGACGTAATTCCTCACTCTCATCAACTTGTTCACTGATAAAGAAGCGCATTATTAATTGGTTAGAGAAAAAAATATTGAACGAACGCGATGATCCACTTGCTTGCGCGAAAGACACACAGCCGTTAGAGAGAGGCGAGAAGCACGAGCATTGACTGCGAGTGCGCGAGACTGGCCAAAGACACCCAACGAAAGCACATACAAATACATTTACTCATTAATATCAAAGTGTATTACAGTGACAGAGAATTTAATATTGTATTTGTAAACTTTGTGTAGGAACTGGGGGAATCTGAAGGAAACCACGCCTACCTCCTTGCTCGCACGTCAATAGTGACGTAATAATCTTTTTTTTTTTTGCTCCTTCGACCACTTTCGACAACGCGGGTGGTGCGCATACGAAATTTCTATCAATCCTATCAATTCTGAGACTAAAACCTAACCTAAAACCGCAAGTGAAAGTGAAACAATTATTCTCTAAATATTAATATTTAAAATGTATAATTAAAATCTTTCAGACACATTTCTTAATTGTTGAATTGTGTTTTAAAACCCTCAAAAATGTTAATATCTCTTTTCTTATTTCTATTTATAATACATGCGAGCATTGCAAAAACAATTATTACTTCAAAGGTTTTTGTTATTCCAATTGGACCAGAAATCTTTAATCGGAGTTCAATCGGTAAAAACAAGTTAATTATGTACGCCCGCTATTAATTGACACTGTTTTCATTGCCATATTGTTAATGAATTGAAATCTTGATAGTCAATTTCCTATTGATATATTAATTTATTAATTAACGTACATAAAAATGTATGGTAATCATTTTTTTTCAGTTTAATGATATGACTTGATTGGATAGTAATGATCATAATGTATGAAGACACTAGTACTATTTAGATAAAAATTTATCGAACCGGATATTCGTATAGACTTTTTTTTTCATCAACTATTAGATTTATTTTAAATTAAATTATTAACAACAATTCATTGAATATTTTAACAGATCGGAAAAATGAATTCTCATATCAAGCATCACTACTTAATGCACCAGATTTGCCACCATGGATTCATTATACTTACAGCAATCATCACCATCAAGGATATTTGTATGGAGTTGCTCCGAAAGATCAAACTAATTTTTCGGTACTCTCAACTCTACTTGTTGTCAACTCTTTTAATATCAAATGACTGATATTTTATTTCATTATATAGCTTGGAATCGTAGAATTAAACAAAAAAACTTATGAAACAGACTATAGAATTCTGAACATGAATGTCATACAGAAAGAAAATGCAACCAACTATGAGGTTTATTTGAAAATTGATAATTTAAATGTTGAACATACGTTCAATAGTCATCATATAGAACGACTTTTGAATATTTTCAGGTGACCGATCTTAAAAAATATGCTAGTTAATTTCATTTATAATAACACTATGAAATGACTAGACTTTATATTTTATTACAGAACTGATTTATGGCCAGAAGCTGATGACTTACATGTAACTTATTTAGTATCAGCTGTTGAAGAGGGTGCAAGGCTTCCGTTGAACCCAAGTGAAACAGAAGGGTAAAATTCAGATATAATTCATTTATACGAATACAAACAAAAAGTATTAATGAGTGTCAATACGTTCACGGCGTAAATAATAAAATTATTTTTTCTATCATAAATAATTATCAATATCCTAGTATATAACAATTAGTCCTATATTATGTCAATTCCGTTAACGCAGAATGAATCATTACTTTCTACCATTTACGTCATTGTAGTTATCATTCTACCAGGAAATACAAAATAATCATACTAGATAACTTTTTTTATAAACAGTCATTAATGTTGAAATTGGAGTTTTGTAATATTTTATTTTTATATTATCAATAATATTTTTTTAAACTGCTGAAAAAAATAATATTGTTTACTATATTATAATAATAAGATGAAATCTATGAGAATTGTAATAACGGTTGATTTTTCATTTGTATTTCAGAGTTGTTGTGAAACTCGGAAGTTCCGTTCCATTTTCACACACTTTGCACAACTTGGAGGACGAAGTAAAGCCACTAAGAAAAATTTCGCATTGTCCAAAAGATTACAAACGAACTACAAAAGAAAAAATCTTTCGAGATGCTGATTTTATGTTAGATTGGTGCTCATTTAAATTGGTAAATATTTTAACATGTATAATAAATTATAAAAACTTCTTATCATTTTTTCTTCATTGAAGATTTCTGAAAACCGAAGTGTTCATCAAGAAAGTGCTCGACGTGGTCCTAGTATGAATGTAATCGACAGAGCTACGCTGGGATCTTCAGAACGTGTTGAATGGCAATGGGCAAGACCCAAAAAATCCTCCGTACCAATAAGGAATTATCTGAATGAAATAGTATCTGCAATATTTATTCCAACTGGTTTGCTTTTAATATTGGCAATTTTCCTCAGCACAACATTCTGTCTTCAGCATCCTAATGTGTAAGAATTTCAATTTTTTTTTCGATATATTTATTAATTGAATTTCCTATTTTCCATCTATTTATCGGTAATTTAAGCATTATTGAAAAATACAAAGAATGATGATCCGATATTATTTTTTAATTTTTTTTTTTTAAATTTAATTAATTTTATAGGAGCGATCCAGAGTCTGAAAAATATTTCTTTGAACTTTTTAACATTTGTGAACCAGAAAAGAATAAAGATATTGAAGACGCGAGGTAATTGATCGTTACTAGCTAAATCAATAATACAGAAAGCTCGTCATAAATTTGTTTACTGTTGCTTCATACTTTGAATAAATTTCATAATTCTAAAGCCTGACAATGCTTTAAAAAGTATTTATGATTGATTTTTTAATTTATTTTAATTCAATAATTTTTTTTGCAGATTTTTATTGATTTCTTTGCTTATTTATTATTTTTGGATTCTTTTAAGTCTAACAATTGACAACCGATGACTTGAAAACTAATGCAAATATTTTTAATTTTCATGGTATGTATTTAATTTAATTAAAACTATCATTCAGTTTTTTTTCCTCGTGCGCATATTTGTCTGTAATCGATATTAAATATAAATTACTACAATATTTATTTATTTTATAATTTTTTCAATTTTTCAGAGATAAAGGAGAATTAAGTCCTGTTGAAAGTACAGGCAAAAATGGAGTACAAATGGTCCAATATGCAACTGCTGAAAAAACTACTCTTCGATCACTTGCAAATCAGTGTACTACACCAACTGATACGATTTTACAAAATGCAAGGTAAAAAATTTAGGACATCTTTTTATGTTTCTAGCTTTGATTTAGAAAAACGGTAAAAAAAAATTTCCATCAAAATCATTGAGTATTGAAAGCTAAGATGAAAACGACCTTGGTCTGTTTTATTATGTGGTTTTTTTTTATTGTAGAGCTACAATAGAACGTTGTAATCCGTATTTACGACCAAATCCTCCTCCATACATCAGCCCCAACAATGTGTAAGTAATAATAGTAATTTTTTGAAAGACAATAAAAGAACTTAATCCATCTATTTTTAGGGGACAACTTCGAGTCAATTTCTGACTACACGAGGAGCCAACAAAGACGTGGTTCTGCTAAAAAAGACATCAAGTTTTATCTACATCTAAATGAAACCTACTGATGTGAAGCAAAGTGAACTACTGACTTTGGGGAATGGCTCCGAAGCAAGCAAAATTTTTATATCAAATAGTATTGTATTAAAAACTATTCGAATAATTCTTTTTAAGCATATAATAATATTAGAATCTGAATCTGATTTTTAGAAGAAAATTTGTAATAATGTAACATAATCTAATTTCTCATAAAATTATTAATTATAACAATACAAATTGTAGGTGAAAAAATATTTACAAGATTATGGTAGATATTATAGAAATCATCATAAAAAAAATAAATAATGTTTAATATTTAACACTGTAAAGGCTTTTTTACCAGCTTTAAGTGTAATATTTTTTTTAAAACTCGAAACATTTCGTTAAATGAAAACTTTATGAATGATTTTTCGTTTTCACAAAAATTTTATTTGAATTGCATCATCATATAATTGCAAAGAGGTCTCTGTAATTTTTTGAAATTGTATCCTAACCTATAAAAATGATCTAAGTACGACATGTGTGGGAATGTGTAAAAGTGTTTGAAATAGTGATAAATCGTGTTAAAATCATAACATCAAGTTAGTTCAAATAAATAATCAATTATCTTAGATTAGTGAATAATGTTTTCAACAAAAATTATAATGACAGAGATGCTCACTCGAAAAGTAGCTCGAGTGCAACCAACGTGGTTGTTTAGGTAATTTTATTCTTTATTAAAGCGTAGTAAAACATAACAGAACGACATTGTAATGATAAATTTATCCAAGCTTTCAGGCTATAAAATTTGAATCTCTTAATGAGTGATTTAAATTTTTAATATCTCATTACAGGTATTTACATCCAACAATTGTTCAATTTGACAGAGGAAAAAAAACACATGACAAGAAAGGTGATTCATTAAATAGTTTAATTCGGCCTGTACGTGTCCAATCCAACCCTGATGATATCAATGTTGGTGCTGAAATATCAGGAGTTTTAAAAAAAGCAGACCTTCAAAAGGTTTTAGCTACTTTTTTTCAAAGACAAGAAGTTCATCATCTCACCAAAGAATACGGCCTGAGTGGTACATTATTTACTACATAATATATTTCTATTAATATCATCGAATTCAAAAATATGCATTCGTAATGTTTTTTTGTACTCTAAATTTTATAGATGAATTACGTCTATATGCGTTCAATAGCTTCAGAAGATATTGTTTAGAAGCTGAGAATCTTCCAGTAGATCTTCATGTTGTCCTTAGTGATATTCTTCAAGGGGCTGGTCACGTAACTGATATTTTTCCTTACTTTATTCGTCATGCAAAAGAAATATATCCACATCTTGACTGCATGGATGAATTAAAAAAAATAAGCGATTTACGTAGTCCTGCCAATTGGTAAAGCTTTAATGCAGTCATTTCTATTCTATTCTATTGAGTAATGTACTTATTATATTCTGCTCACATAGGTACCCAATGGCTAGGGCTAAAACAAGAAAAATTATATTTCATGCCGGACCTACAAATAGTGGAAAAACTTATCATGCTTTAGAACGATTAAGAACAGCTAAAAGTGGTATTTATTGCGGGCCCCTTAAACTTTTAGCCACTGAGGTTTATCGTAAAATGAATCATTTGGTAATATTTTTTATAGTAAATATTTATCAAACGATTATTCATATGAATGTCTGAATTCAACATTGTTATATTATTTAGGAAACACCATTTGATTTAGTCACAGGAGAAGAAGTACTCTATGCTAAAGATCAAGATCACCCTGCTGATCATATTGCGTGCACTGTTGAAATGGCTAGACTTAATGTTCCTTGTATGATATATTTATTTTCTTTTTTCGATATCTAATAGATTCATTTTCCAACATTTAAATAAAAAAATTAATTCCAGGCGAAGTTGGTGTTATTGACGAAATTCAATTACTTAAAGATTCCAGTCGAGGTTGGGCATGGACTCGAGCATTATTAGGATTACCTGTTGATGAATTACATCTTTGCGGTGAAGAAGGAGCAGTTGATTTGGTAAAATATTTTCATTGAATAATTTTAATATAAAGTGGTTATCATTATGTTATGATAATAATGAAACTGTGATAAATTTATTAAAAGGTTCGTGCAGTTTGTTCAACAACTGGCGAAGATGTGGAAGTACGGCGATATAAACGTCTAACAGAATTAGAAATTCAAGAACAAGCACTTACAACGTTAAAAAATGTTGAACCAGGAGATTGCATAGTTTGTTTTAGTAAAAATGATATTTATACTGTATCAAGAAAATTAGAACAATTAAATATTGAAGTAGCTGTTATTTATGGTGGACTTCCTCCAAATACAAAATTAAGTCAAGCCGCAAAGTTCAATGATCCCGAACATCCTTGTAAAGTTATGGTTGCAACAGATGCTATTGGAATGGGATTGAATTTGTAAGTATCATGCCACTTTACTATTATTAAATAGAGCAAACATTAAAATTATTTCATATTTTTTATAGACATATAAGAAGAATCATCTTTTACTCATTAATTAGACCAATGTTAAATGAAAAGGGAGAAAAAGAAATGGATACGATTTCCGTTTCATCTGCCCTTCAAATCGCTGGTCGAGCTGGACGATATGGAACTCAATTTTCAAAGGTAAAAAAAATTAAGAATGTAATCTGTAATTAAAATAAATAATAATATCTTATTATGAATACTAACAATTATTAGGGTTACGTTACAACGTTTAAACCAGAAGATCTCCCGTTACTACAAAATTTATTAAGCCAAAAACCTGATCCAATAACACAAGCTGGACTTCATCCAACAGCAGATCAAATCGAATTATACTCGTATCATTTACCAAAAGCTGCATTATCTAATTTAATGGTAAATATTTAATTGTAAACAATTATTTAATTTATTAGATTATTAATATAAATAAATGATTAATTGTACAGGATATATTTATGTCATTGTCAACAGTGGACGATTCCTTATATTTTATGTGTAACGTAGAAGATTTTAAATTTCTTGCTGACATGATTCAACATGTTCCACTACCTCTCAGAGCTCGTTATGTATTTTGCTGTGCTCCTATCAATAAAAAAGTGCCTTTTCCTTGTACAATGTTTCTCAAGGTGTAGTATAATTATTATGAATTTATGATAATTATATGGATATTTATTATAATAGTAAATATAATTTTTAACTTACAGTTTGCTAGACAATACGCCCGTAATGAACCAATTACCTTTACCTGGCTATGTCAACAAATTGGGTGGCCATTGCAACCCCCGAAAACAATTTTAGATTTAGTTCACCTTGAAGTAGTTTTTGATGTTCTTGATTTATATCTTTGGTTAAGGTTAGTAAAAAATTGTTCATTAGAAGTTGACTTTTAAAACACAAAAGTTATTTATGATTATTAGTTACCGATTTATGGATCTTTTCCCGGATGGTAAAACAATTCGTGATGTACAAAAAGAATTAGATGCGATTATTCAAGATGGAATTATTCAGCTAACAAAATTATTAAAGAATTCTGAAACAGGTAATGTATCTTTTTTGTTATTAATTTGATAAAGATACAATAATTGATTTTTTTTAATTGTTCAATTTATTTTAGGAGTTAGCAGTGTAGCTGGTGTTGTCCCTGATGAAGACGATTTCGAGTTGAACACTCAAAAACAACAGTATTTTCGAGGTCTTTATAAAATAATTTTCTTTTTATTAGTATAAATAGATCAATAAAAGTTTATTAATCTAAATAATGATTATAAATAGATAATAAAGGATCGAACATCGGGCGAGGCAAGTTAACTGAACGACTTTTATCACAAGGACTTTTAACTCCTAATATGCTTCAAGAACTGCAACGTGAATGGAGTGATGTAAGAATTGAGAAATATTATTAGAAAATATTTACATTATTCAATTGACTTAAATTTAATTATCTTTTCAGGAGAAAAAGCAATCCGTTGATCGAAAAAATAGAAATGATCGATCAAAAAAACCGAAATAAAAGACATAGCTTTAATAAATACAACAATTGAATATGTAAATAATAAAAATATAATTCATTTTTATGACAAATTATTTTCTATATTTTATATTTTTTTCTACATTTCTTTAGACAGTTTCATTTTTGAGAAATAAACTTATTAAATAAACTTACTAATGACTTGTTAACTTCCAAGTTTCTTCAAGGATCCATGGAAAAATTAGTACAAACACAAGTCTTTGTCGTCAATTATTGATCTTTGTTTTTTTTTTTTTTTTAAAAAACGGTTTATCTCATGGAAAACAATTCACGATACTTCTTTTTCTTCTTCGGGCACATTTTGATGTTGAAAAGGTTCAACAGTACGTTGGAATAATTTATAAAACTGTGCATCTATCTTAATATGATGAAGATATCGGCGTATTAATTGAATATCCGGTAAACACATGTATTGATTATCTAATAAAAATTTGTACATCCTTGGTGATTCAATATAAATCAACAGAGATAAGAAAATCCACGTCTGAGAGAAATCTGTTTCTGCATTTTCCTCAGCATTTGTCAAACATTCTTTAATCATCAATTTCTGTATTTCTGGTATTTCCATAGTTTCAACCAAAGTTGCTAAAGACTGAGGATCATCTTTTATTGCATTAATTTTTTGGTTTTGTTTCGTAAGCTTAGAAACCATTTTTTGAAGAACATAAATTGTTCGTTCTTTCTTTAAAAGTGCTGCAGATTCATCAGGCTGAATCGATTTTTTAGCCTTACGTCTTGCCGCATGGAAATTGAGTGTATTACACTTGGTACAACGTGCTGCACCATTTTGAACAATAATGGGGCAATCAACATGTCGCCATTTAAAGTCTTGCCTATAAATTACTTTACTATCCATTTCGGAAGACGACATTTTTTCTAAACCATCACAAACAACTTTTTGATCAAATTCTTCAATGAACTCTTCAACATCACGCAACGATTTGACAACAAGACTTTTACCTTTAGGAATTAATTTATGTTCTCGAGGATGTAAAGAATTTCCTGCAGCAGAACATTGAAGATTCATGTCACTTTTTAAGAACACTTGTTTTAGTACGTAAGGAACACCCGTTTGAGTCATATTCATACGGGCATATATAACTGTTGTAGCTCTTCCAGCGGGAATTACCATTGAAGACCATCCTCGAGGCAATGAAACCTCAGTGTAAATGTCTAAAAGATCTTCAAACAACATTGCAGGTCCTTCATCTACTTCTTCCATTGGTTCATCAGGTTCATCAGCAGGTAAATCAACATCGTCTTCGTGCCTTGATATCCTTTCATAGCTTTCACTAGTGGACAATTTATCATCTGTGTCCATAGACTCCCAAGATAATGCTTCTATCGATTCTGCATCAGACATTGGTGCTGCATCATCTTTAGGTGGCTCAAATGATTCTTGAGTATTATTGTCATTAGTCTCGTTCATTTCGTTAATTTCATTAACTTCATGATTTTCAATGATTTCATTTTCATTACTCTCTTTGTTATCGTTTGTTTCATCAGGTTCTCTACTTTCTTCAGCCCCATAGTTAATGTCTTCAACATAAACGATTTGAGGATCATTAGTTGCTTTTAAATAAATTGTGCTATCATTTTCATCCACAGTATATGCATTTTCTACTTGAAGGGTAGTTAATGCTTGTTCTGAATTATCAGTTAGAACAAGCATTTCTTCTTGCCCTTCAACAGATTCTGTTACTCCATCAATTGTCTCTGCTATGTAAACTAACTCAGTATTCTCTTGTTTACATTTATGATTATCCACATGTGAATAAGTTATCAACTCTCCTCGAGGAATAATAAAAACTTGTTCATTGTTAGCATCAATGTATGATGCTAATTTCCCTTCAGCCTCCCAATTACGATTTAATTCAAAAACAGGTAATTCTTCATCTGATTTTGTTTGCATTGGAACATCACAATGAACACTTGGAACTGCTCCAGGACGTAATCGACATTTTTTGTATTTAATCTAAAAAAATATAACGTCCAATAGAAATAATTTAAAAACAAAAATATTGAATTTGTAATAGGGCATGCTTTTTGAATAAATTTTTAAATCCAGTTCTTTAAAAATTGTCATGACTAAAATTTGAACACAAAAAAAAACATTAAAAAAATTCTAACCTATAATTTCACAAAATGTATTTAATATTCATACTTACAGTGACTACATGAGGTGGAACACCACTAACCCAATGTGTAATTATATCACCTGGTGTAAAATGCCTACTGCATACAAAAGTTTCATCATTCACCACGTAATTTTCAATTCCAATAGCTTCTTGCCACTTTTTACGCGTCTCTGCATCTTTTGGCGCCGAGAAAAAACTGTAAGAGTTTTTGTAGTTTGTTTCTTTACATAAAACACACTTGCGAGTCATTTTCTTTTAATTGTTAAAAATTTTATAACTTTTATCGCTTTTCAATTATTTACAATAATTAAAAATAATTAATACTGTTGTACTAATTACTTGACGATGAATAATGTTCTACATTCAACGATTTGATACTATAAACCACAGCTTCCATTTTTATTTGAATATAAATAAATAAGTTGTCCAAAAAAACCCAAGCAATTCAAAAGTTTATTGTATATGTAATCATTTTATACTTATTTTCATTCATTCACTTTATTACATTTGACGTCTGTTCACGAGAACGAACATAACCATTCACTAAATATTTATTGAATTTTTTTATGGACATCTACACAGCGCCATAATTATCTGGTGGCGGAAATGACTAGAAAGCTGATTGGTAGCCTTCCAATCCCGTGAAGCATGTGATATAGGCACAGACCAATCAAATTCAACGCTGAAAATTCAAATAAGTGAAAGATTTAAATTGAAAAAAAGGAAATATTATTTATAATTTTTATTTTTTCAGCTCTAATATTAAAATTATAAAATTTTATTATATTTTGACAAATATTTTGATGTCATTGAGTTACGCAGTAATAGGTTGTTGGCTATCTTGAGAAGGAGGTGGTGTCGTCTCAATTGTATGTTTTTCTTCTGGTTTTAAGAAAGTTCTCTCAGCATACTCTCTTTCAGGCATCCAAGAAGGAATGATTTTTCCATGAATACGCCACAATCCATATTTATTTGATAAATGTTTTTCAAATACTACGTATTCTAAAACATCTTTTTTGACAATTTCACTACCATGCATTAGACGGCCAAATCTGTCATAGATAGCTAGAGTCTGAAATAATATTTCATGTTAAATAAAATGCATTTCGTACATCAAAAAAGAAATATTCAACAAGGTAAAGCTTATAGATTTAACCTGTGTGCTATGAAATCGAACAGTTAATTGAGCATAAATATTTTCCTTGGTTATGACAGAAGTATTACGAGCATGAACAACTCGTGGCGGTTCTAATGTTTCAATATATCTCCAGCGAATTGTTTTATCCAAAGTATTGTGTTGTGCTTCCTGTAAATTTTTTTTTTTAAATATTAATGAAAAATATTATTTTTGTTGAGAAATGATCATTGCAACAGTTAGATGTTAAATCCATACTTACAACAAGTGCTTTTTCAGTTAGGTTCAATCTTAATTCGTCTTCATCTTTTCTATACAAGAAAAATGAAAATTATTCATTATATTGATTACATTTAAGTTAATCCATTTAAACAAGCTGATAAAATCAATTGTTCTGTTTAAATGAAGTCTTACTTAGCTATTGCCTTATGAGCTTTAATGTAAATTTCCTCAGCTTCTGTTTCGAATTCTTCAAGAGTAAAATCATCATCAAATGAACGTATTTTTCGTACTGCCATATACGAGGTACCCTTTTTTCTCATAAAACTTGCTCGTTGTTTAGCACCCTTGTAGAAAAAAAAGAATCTAAGAAATTTTATTCAATATTTAAATAATCATTAATGACGAACTTACGGTTGCTGAAACGATGGAAAATTTTCCATCCCCTTCAGGTGGAACATAGGCCTCAAAAATTCCACCAGTACAACTAATATAAGTTTGTTTTTCGATCCATGGCATATTAGGTTGTAATCCCATTTCTTTCAATTTAGTTCTCATTTTTTCCTGGAGCACTGTTTCATCAGTCTCATCATTTTTTTGATAATCAGGTAACTTTATTTTTATGACTTTCGCTGCTCGCCATTTTTTCCATTTTGGATTCCAATGTTTTGTTCCACGAGTTTGACTTACAATAATTGATTTTTCAGCAGTTGACAATAGTATTGATGATTTACTCTAAATAGAAAATCGAAAAATAATCAATCAATTAAGTGTTCATAATTATCAAATGATAATGGAAGAAATAGTCTAACCTGCACAATCCGGCTTAGAGAATTCAATGAATTGATAATAAGATTTGACATATTGATTGACACTTATATTTTGTCATTTATTGAAGAAGATTTTAGGGTAACTTTTGTGATGTATCTATCTATGCATAATCAAATTTTTTATAATTTTAACAAATTTATTCTTTTTAGAATACAAGTGGAACAATTTTATAAATTAGTTCAAGCCAAGTTTTCATTGAGCATTTTAATTTTTACACTCAATACTCTCGGATGATAGAGAGAGATGCGTATATATTGAGGATTCTGTGTGCGATTATTGAAATTGAAAATGCGACAAAAGGGTGGCCACGTTCTTTCAGGAACAAGTTTAGAAATTCCAGTGTCATGGACCATCTCAATAACTTCAATTGAGATAAATCTGACGGAGAAATGAAAGGATGTATACAAGAGGTCAGTTTTTATATGATTTTCTGTATATTTAAATACATCAACTACAATAAAATGTATCTTTGCGTGAATATAATCCGCACGTTTGTTAACTCATCTTTTTTCAGTTAATAAACATTTTTTTCTCTTCTCAGAATGTTTCAATAGTTGAACTACATCAACATTATTTAACAATTAATTAATATTATTTTAAATAAGATATTCTAAATAAATAATCAATGCTAGATATTCATTTTGGTATTCTTAAAATCATAATCAGAGGTTATGTTACTTGTGACGCTGCACGCGGTAGTGCTTATGACATTGTAAGCATTTAGAAAGTTTACACCTTACAATTTTCTATTTCAGAGTAATTACTATTGAATGATTATTTATTGAAAATAATAAATTCAATATTATGATAACATATGAAAAAGTATATGAAATACTCAAATTAATTATAGATTTTTATTAATATATTTACGTTCTTTGACCTTTGATTGATTTTTAATTGTTAAAATATAATTTTTTGTTACAGAATGTCAGCAGAGAATTGGACTACAAAAAATATCCAACATGAAAAGATGCTAACAGTGAATAAAAAAATAGTATAAATGTTTGAACTGTCATCGATCTATTTAAATAATAATTAACAAATAATAAGTGTTTTTCGATTATTGTGTCTATAGTGTGATCTATAGTTTGAGTTGTTAATTTATGTTTGAAATGTTATAGTTTTATTTTTAACTTAAAATGATTATACCGTAAATACTCAAAAATCGAATAACAAAATGTCCTTTAATGATCCTAAATGATTAATCCTATAATATCAGTTGTTGCAATACTATCATAGTGCTAATATTTCTATAAATAAATTTTAAAATATTTATATAAATCAAATAATTTAATATTCTTGAGAATTTATTGATAAATTTCAATCATGACTGATATTACCATCCAAGACTTACACAAGTTGCTTGTTTATTTTTCAAAAACTACTTATAGAGCCAAAGATGCTGATTGCACGGTAATTATTGTATTAAACGAAATTTTACTGTAACCCTTTAAGTCTTTTAAAACAGAAAACAAACTACAAGAATCTATAATTAAACAAATTTTGTAGATTTTTTTTTTATTTGATTAAAGAAAATTTAATCCTCAATCTCTCTTAACAAAAAATAAGGCTTAAAGGGTTGTTCATTTAAAATTCAATATATATAGAGTGATAATCAAATTAAAAATTCTTTTTTTTCTAGGGCCAAGCGATTATGCAACAGTGTTTGTTACTTGCTGATTTAGATTACACGCATTCAATAATAAGTAACATTGCAGGTGACCTGAGTGCTCATTATCCAAGTCACCTTATTATTCTTGAAAATGAAAAACATAAAAATCCACACATCTGTGACACGCCACCACCACTGCCAAGGACTACAGAGACTATATACGAAAGCATGTACGATCCGAATAAGTTGAAAGATTTAATTAAAAATGCCAGATTTGCCAGATGTCGATCAAGATTTCCTTTACCAGTAATTCTCTATAAAGGACGACATATATGTCGATCAGCAACACTGTCTGGTGGCCCTGAAATTTATGGTAGATCTGGGCTTAACTATTTATTTGCTGGAACTGAAACAGCTGGTTCCGTCCAACATCAAGTAGATGAAGCCAAAGGAGGAGACTCTGTACTTAGTGATTGGCAATTATTTGATAAAGTGCGAAATCAAGATATAAAATTATTAAAAACTCTTAACGTTGGTAATATCATTGATTTTATGGTCGAGAAAAAAAAAGTTAAATTCGGAATGAAGTAAGTAGAAACTTGAAAAAAGTTAAACATCATAAATAATAATTAATTCATTCCTTGAACTCATTATTTTTCTTTGATTCTAGTGTAACATCGTCGGAGAAAGTAGATAAAGAAAAGAGGTATTCAGACTTCACAATAATCTCACTGCCATATCCTGGATGTGAATTTTTTAAAGAATTCCGGGAAAATGATTATCAAGCAAAAGGACTAGTCTTTGATTGGTCCCAAACACATGTTGATGCGCAAATTGGCGTTCCAGACGATATAATTTCTACTCAATTAAAAATTAATTGGGATCAGTATCAAATATGGGACCTAGTCAAATTAACGCAAAATTATTTCAAACTTATATTACGATATTTAAGTGATAGTAGTAATGGGATGTTGATTCATTGTATTTCGGGTAAGTTTTTAAGTTGTAACTAAATGGGAGTTTTAAAAAATCTTTAAATATTGGTTAATCGAATAATTTCAGGATGGGATCGAACACCATTATTTGTTTCACTCTTAAGAATTAGTTTATGGGCAGATGGAGCTATTCATACATCATTGAATGCTCATCAAATGTTATATTTTACAATCGCATATGATTGGTTATTATTTGGTCACGATTTACAAGATAGACTCAGTAAAGGTGAAGAAATATTCTTCTTCTGTTTCTTTTTCTTAAAACACATTCAGGATGAAGAGTTCAGTGTTAATTCTAAACATACGCGATCGCGACATTCCGTTTTCCGCAACGACAGTGATTCGCAATTGGACAATGTGATGTTTGATAATGAATCTGTTGTAACGTTAAGTTCAGTTAGTTCTAATATGAGTTTAAATAGCTGGTGTAGTTCATTTAGTCAAAACAGTCGTGACAGTCAAGACAATAATCCACCTAGTGTATTTCCTTGTTCTTCCACAGATAGTCAAGATGAAAGCCATAGCAATGGGTTTGTGATGTTTTTTTAATTTATTAATAAAAAATGATAATTATGTTTTAGAAAATGAAATTATCTATCAATTTATTTGTTTCAAATAGAAATGTAGTACCATGGACATTTTACAATACTTCAAATAACAAAGATAACGTCGCTCATGGATCCCGATCGCCTTTATTATCAAGTCGGACGTCTCCTGTTGCTGTACCAATTCCAGGACGGTTTCGTCAACGCAACGAGTCGTCATCTTCTGCTGGTTCTTGGCAAATGATATCCGGTACTGGTAGCTTACGTGGCTCAACCACCTCTACTTGTGCATTACCAGAGTTGTTATCTTCATCTGGCTTAGCTTGTAAATCTCATTGTAGCAGTTGTTCTGGACAAGCATCACAGGAATCAAGTGTCACTATTATAGAAGATGAGCCTACTGCAGTACTAGCACAGTAAGAATGACCAACAAATTATAATTAATTGTTAAACTTCGTGGGTGTAAAGTTTTTTAACTTAATAATTTTTTTTTGTTATTTAGAAGTCGAAAGGAAAGACTGCACAGCATGCGTACGTTATTTTATAGTGTATATAGTCATACAATTGGATTCAGGATGAAAGAAAATTCAGAATCTAGTGGGTTTGGTCAATTATTGGGAAATTTTGCTGAAAAAGTAGGTATATTATCGGTGCAACGTACATCATTGTGACCATAGATCATCACAATTGAATAATTTTTTCATAGACGATGTAAATACGATTGTCTTTCAATCAATTCATACAGAAAATTTTACAATTTATAAATAAGAAAGGAGGGTAAATGAATATTTGTGTTCAAAAATGACGTACTCTGAAAATAATGTATATGAAAGTGACATAATAAACTTGGTATTTTTTTACATATGGTATAATTATTATTTACATTAATCTGTATAGCTTGTTTATTGATAAATTATTATACTTAATCATCTTCATTATAAATTCATCAAATATACAATTCGTGATGATGTAACATGTTCACGACATAAGGGACATTGGGATCGTACGCGAACCCAATCTGCAATACAAGACCAACAAAACAAATGACCACAAGGAGTCACTGTGGTTGGTTTTATTTCAAAGCATAACTGGCATTTAATTCCTTCATTATTGTCTAATTGTATCAACTTCTCTTCACTTTCAACATGAGTTTCTCCTTGCCAAATTCGCAGGAAACATTGAACGATAGTGATTATACCAAGAAATCTCAAACTCCAACTTACAGTATTTGTTGGTCTCTTTCCATAAACCTAAAACAAAAAAAAAAGTTTATTTCAACAATTGTAGTGATTAAAAATAATTTAATTAGTACGGTAAATCAATACAGATAATAATTAATAACCTTTGCATAATCTATTCCAGTTAGACGTCGACCGAAGCTATAATAACGACCACTGAAGTAAAACAATGATTTGTGTATAAAAATGGATATTGGAATGAAAACTTTCAATTTGTTAAATATTTTATTTAAAAGTGTCACTGCTTCAGGTCGTAATTCGGAGTCAGGTTTATTAACATGTTTCTGTATTACTTCTAAGATATTAATTAACATTCGTTCTCCAAATAATTCTAGTACAAGCCCAACAACTCGAGCCTAAAAAAATATGACTAGCAATGATGTTGTGAACATTTGTTAATGACATTAACAATGATTTATTGTTGTATAATATTTACAGTTAATGAAGGGGCTTTCCTAATTTTTATGTTAGCTTGTACGATTCCAGTGTATTCTTCACCCAAAGTCTGATTACCCAAACCAGTTGTGAATAAGAAATACAGTACTTGAGCAAGAACATTTAATTGAAAAATGGATGAAACGAGTTTGTAATTTTTAAAATTATGTAGAATAATTGTTAATTTTTTTTCTATTTCTCTTATGTACTCTTCATCTCTTTGATGAGCTCTCAAAATTTCAGCTTGGTTTGCTACTTTTAAATTTGTAACTTTGTTCACTGTTTGATCTAACATTTTTGTTCACAATAATTTGTACTGCATGTATAAAAATGTATTCATTTAGGATTAATACATGAATATTTTTGTTATTCATCCTCAAACGAGTTTTTTCCATCTATGTCTTAACATGACATGATGATGCACATTTCGATGATGATACTCTTCACTTCATTGAATCGTAATATTTACAAACTTGTCAACAACGTTTGTATCATTATTTAACAAAGCAGAAATTTTTATTTCCTATTTTAAATAAAATAACAAGATTAGGTAGCAAAAGAATTTTATCTCGATAGAAAGTCAGATTTAAGGATTAAACTTCACATCAAAATATTTTGTATGTGAGACGATCATATTCAGCAGTAAACAGTATAGATAATCATTTTACCTAAAACAGGTATTCTCATGATTTTTTTAATTATGTAATAATATTATTTGATAATACTCAACCCCATCTAAATTAAAGCTTAGTTTGAAATCCGCGAATGATCTCGGATCTAACAGCGCCACTTCAAGAAGATTTTTTCACAACAAAGTGAACTTTCTCAACACATCATCTAAATTTTGCACATGCGCAAATATTTGACGTTGTTCAGCTAGCTATTCCACACGTTATAGTACAGTACCGGACATAAATGCTGTGTGATTTTCTATAGGAGGGTATAGGGAAATCGCATGTATAACCTTCAAAAAATTAAACAGCATTTATGTCCGGTACTGTAGTAGTGTTCTTCAGTCAATTCTAGCGATATTTTTCGGCTAATATAGTTTTTATAATTGTTTATTTTACCCTAGACAAAGTAAATTAGCTAAATAAAATGCCACGAGGTAATTAAAATAATTTTTTAGCTCTAACTGTATATTAAATACTAAAATATTAGACAATTCATTTATTAAAAAATTTGAACTGTGCTTTCAAGCTCACTGCATGTTATAAGTTTTAATGTGTATTGAGTATATAATTATTTTTGATTGTGCGGTAACATTTTATTGTTTGTTATGATACAGGAAAATTCGTAAATCACAAAGGACGTAATCGTCATTTCACTAATCCCGAGGAGTTAGAAGAACAACGACGACAGGACGAGGAACGAAAAAAGTGGAGAGTCAGTATTTCATAGGTTATCCATCTGCACAAAGACTTGGGATATTTACTTTTATAAAGTACAAGTTTCGAAGTACTTTGCAGATGATTAAAAATAAGATATTATAAGATGTTATTATTTTCGTTTTTGTGTAGAGTAAAAAACAAGATGACACATCTAGTGAAGAAGAAGAGGAAGAAGATAAACCAACGAGCAGTAAGGCCAAGCAAAATGCTACCGCCTCTGAATCTGATAGCGAAGAAGAATCAGATTCAGACGATGAAGGGGAGGTAGATTGAATAAACTTACCTTAATAACTCTAAATGAAATTAATCTTACTCTGATAAATTATATTTATAATTCAATTATTTTTAATAACCGTAGGTAAAGGCCAAAGGAGTTGAAAATTTAATTGAAGTAGAAAATCCAAATAGGGTACAGAAAAAAGTTAAAAAATTATCTAAATTGAATGATGCTCTTTCGCAGTCTTCGAAACCGGAGCTTTCCCGGAAAGAAAGGTTAGTACATTATTACAATTGTCTAAAAGCATATTTGCTAAATTGTTGAAATAATAATTATGAACTTGGATTAATCAACATAGCTTAGAATGTAATTGATTAGGGGAGAAATTGATAAAAGTCTATCTAAAAAATGATGCTTAAAACATACATATTACATCATTTTATTTTTATTACACAATTTCTTATGATTCAATTAATTTTGAGAGTTATAAAACAAGTCATAGAAACTGTAATAAGTGAACGTATTTACTTTTAAGAGTTATTGATAGTGTTAATGAAATTACTAATTGTTTGTTTTTTAACAGAGAACAGATAGAAAAACAAAGGGCATATGCGAATTATCAAAAGCTGCATGCTGCAGGTAAAACTGATGAAGCACGTGCAGATTTGGCTAGATTAGCTATAATTAAGCAACAAAGAGAAGAAGCAGCCAAACGAAGAGAAGATGAAAAAAAACAAAAAGAAATGGCAGCTCAGAAAAAAAATGAGCTAACTCAAAAAGCCCTTGGAAAACGAACTTGAAAAAATAACTTACATATATATATATATCTCTTAATATACTTGAATAAGTAATTAACATCAATGTAAATTTTTAGTTACAATATGAATTTTTTGAATGATTTAATCTCTACTTTCTTATCAATAAAAATTTATTCAAAACAATTATTAACTTTGCTTAGATCTGAGATTATATCAAGATTAAATTGTGCCATGTTCACAAAATTATCATAAATTTCAGCGGCATAGTTTTAATTGCACCATTGTAATAACTATAAAAGTTATTTATTTGATCAAAACAAAAAAATTTATTTAAAAAAAAAATATTTGTCAAATATTTTTTACTATTAAAAAAGAAACACATGTTCATTAAAATATTTTTTTTACAGATCATAATTCTGTACAAATTTTTTTGTTCACACACATTGTAATTCAAAATTGTGACTAACTGATTATATATTTTTCCAAATAGATTTTATTGGATTTTTTCAATCACTACACCTCATGTAAAGTTATTATTCTATTCAAATACAGACTCATTAAAATTTTCTTTATAATATGTTTCAAATTATTTTGTAAAAGTAATATTACTCTTTTTCTGAATATTTCGTGTTTTAAGGAAAAATAAACATTCTTACATTTAACAAATATTTATATATAAGACTATAAATAATAATTTAAACAAATATTGAAAATTTTCGTTCAAGCAGTTGAAACATTTTCGCGCAAATTTTTTAACTTTTAATACGTAATCCAAACATAAACTATACAATTGTATATGTGTATTCAGTCACATGATTTTGGACGTTAAATATGCATTTACTATAGAAAGAAGACATCTTCTTTCTATTGTTGTGAATTCTCGTCATGCGCAGGAATGATGACGAGTGTGCATCTAAGAGGAGAGAAGCAAACACAAAATCTTCGAATATCGTCATGATATATTCACTTATATTTAATGATATATTTCTGTTTATTGATGTGTATAAAACTAGTTTAATAAACATAATTATTTCCGGATGAATAACAAAAATTGAAAATGAATTTGTGTTCAGGAACTACTCGTGATAATGGCTTACTTTACGCCGGTTTTAATCAAGACCAAGGTAGACAACATTTTTTTCATTGTTTGTTTTCATTTCTTTTCACATTGATGATGTTTATTAACAATTAATTCTACTTTTAATTTACTAGATTAACATTAAAACTTTTTGTTAATAAAGCCGATGAACTCTACAACTCTTTAAGACGAAAATTGTACGGTTATTTGTTACAGGGTGTTTTGCTTGTGGCATGGAAAATGGATACAGAGTTTACAATTGTGACCCTTTAAAAGAAAAAGAACGACATGATTTTAACGAAGGTGGACTCGGATATGTTGAAATGCTTTTTAGATGTAATTATTTAGCACTCATCGGAGGAGGTTCAAAGCCCGTATATCCAACCAATAGAGGTAACTTTTCTCTATAGTTTTTTATGTTGTAATAATTTATGAAAATTATTTAATAGAATTTTCCTCGATAGTTATTATATGGGATGACCTTAAGAAGGTACCAGCAATTACCTTGGAATTTAATGCCCCCGTGAAGGGTGTAAAACTTCGCCGAGATAGAATAGTAGCTGTTCTTGAAGGTGTCATAAAAGTTTTTACATTTACTCAGAATCCTCAACAGCTGCACGTGTTTGAGACCAATTCTAACCCAAAAGGATTATGTGTTCTCTGTCCGAACAGCGATAATTCATTATTAGCATTTCCCGGTCGTAAAAATGGTCACGTTCAAGGTAATTTGTAATAAATAATTTATAGAAATGAGTTCGCTAATCTTACGGTATTTTTTTTAGTCATCGATCTTGCCAATATAGAAAAGCAGCCTTTAAATATTGAAGCACATGAAACACCTCTCTCTTGCATTGCTTTGAATTTGCAAGGAACTAAATTAGCCACGGCTTCTGAAAAAGGTACCCTTATTCGTGTTTTTGATACTCAAACTGGAGCTATGATCAACGAATTAAGACGGGGAGCACATCATGCTAATATATACTGGTATTTATTAGTGTTCTCTTGACAATCTACACTAATGTAATTATTTACTCAAGATTTAATCTTTATTTTTCAGCATAAATTTTAATCACGACTCATCATGGTTATGTGTTGCAAGTGACCATGGAACAGTACACGTCTTTGCGGTGGAAGACCAGAAATTGAATCGCCAATCAAGTTTGGCGTCCGCCACGTTCTTACCAAAATATTTTAGTTCAAGCTGGAGCTTTTGTAAGTTTGAAATCCCTGGAGGACCCCAATGCTTGTGTGCATTCGGAATGAACAATAGTATTATAGGTAAGGAAAATATGTTTTTAAATTAATTTACATGATAAGAACTTCACTAATGATCGATGAATAATTTTTCAGTGATATGTGCTGATGGAAGTTACTATAAATTCGTATTCAATAATAAAGGAGAATGTACACGAGATTTTTATGCACAGTTTTTGGAAATTACAGACGATAAAGTGTGATAGTGTTTTTGAAATCTCAAATACAAAACTGTATAAAAATATACTAAAAAGGAGTAAATCTCAAAACAGCAGAACAAATGTGAGTTAAAAAATCAATTAAATTAGTTATATGAAAGTTGAAACTCAACGATGAAGAAATCAATTAATATATTAATATATGAAGATATGAAATCTGAATAAAACTTTATTAAAATTACGACAAGAGTAATTTTGACAAAAATAAAATGCTTAGTGGTTACTAAATTTTTGCCTCATGAAATTACGTCAGACTGTAATTCTATTAAACTATAAAACATTTTTTTACATGCAATTTTTGAGCAAAAATAGTAAAAATCCTTTACAATGATCATGATTAGTAATTAAATACAAGTTAAGTATTTATAAATTCAGAAAATGTTACAAATTCATTAAATTTTCATTAAAATTTATTTTCGTCATCGAAGAGAATTTTAATTGTAATTTTTAATCAATTGTTGTGGTAACTTAATATATGTATATGCGAATTATAAGATTATGTACATAAATAATTTAAAAAGTTAAATGTAATTTAATTCAGATGATCTTTTATTTATATAATATATAAAAATTACTAGTGCATCATACGATCTGTATCCTGAAAAGTATAGTAGTTAATATTATTTAAATTAAATTATCGAATATAAATTTATAACCAACAATATTATGATTTTAATGAATTCACGTAAAATATCATTTTGCTACCTACATTTTGAGTATTAATATTGATAATATATAATTGTTAAAAATTATATAAATAATTAAAGTTAAACAAAAAGTATTTTTTAAATCTACCAGCAAAAAATACTTTTTCGTTACTTTGAATGTTATATAATTGAATGAGAAATTTTAAAATGATATAAAATTGATCAAATTAAGCGTATTGAAAGGATTGACAATTATTTAGTACGTAAACACTTGTAAGCTTTTATTTATATAAATACATACATTTTTCGCACATGAAATTCTTCTAATATTAAACATTTATTTTATACATGTAAAAACTGCTCTTAAATATCTAAATAGTTTCTGTATTATGCTAATCATAAAATTTATCATTAATTATTCATTAGTACTCACAGTAAATTAATTAAACCATAAATTTTGACTTATTTGTATGTTTTTTTTTTTTCAAATACGTGAGTGAAAAAAGTATGATAGTATGATGCATAAAAAATAAACAAATAAAAATATATCAATTGATAATTTTTATACAAATATCTATCACAAATTAATATATATATATATTTAATTTATAATCATTTTAACTAGAAAATAAATACTATTTAAATTATCAATGCCATCTTAATATTGTATCAAATTTAAATGCACATTTTTTATTTAATTTTCATGGTTTTGAATATTTCGAATTATCTGAATTATTGTAGTAATAATTATCATGATTATGATTATATCTTTATACCATTGAATATTTATCCAATTAAATTAGATTAGATAGTTTTATTTCTAAGAGAAGTTCAGATATCACGTAAGACGATTTCATCTTGATTCGATTTCGGTAAAGTATTATGAATAATCTTTTTTTTTTAATGAAATAAAGAACATTAAATTGAAAACTACAATAATTCTTACTTATGAGGAACACATTCGTTACTAAATTTAATTTTGTGTATTACATTCGATTATTAAATTTTAACGTAAATTTTAATATTAATTTTTCTTTAATAATTTATTTATAACTGACTTTATCAATAAGTAGAATAGAAAAAATTCTATGTGTTAAGGCTTGAAATATTAATTAATTTGTTTTGAATAGTTGATGACTAGGGATAAATCATGTAAGATCTACCTTCTTGAAAATAGTGTAAATAAATTGTCATTGGAACAAATATAGAAATTTACAGTTGTAAACAGCATCAAGCGAACAAGGCTCATTTTGTTAGATATTTTAAGTACACACGATTTTCAGTCAGTGCGAGTAATAAGGCATATGAAGATAAATCCTATTAATTTGTTCAAATATTTTGCACATTCTAATAATGTGATTAAATGCTAACAATATATATATATATAATAAATAAACATAAGATAGAGTAGGCCTTATTACCCGCCTTATTACCACTTAAGTAACACAATTGATCATTAACTCTAAGTTTATCGTATGTCGATTGTTGTGGTCAATATTTGAAAATTTTATTTTCAAATATTTCAAATTATTCAAATATTTCTTTTTATTGATAGATATTGTTCAAATGAATATTTAGTATGTTTGTATTATTGTTTGTTAAGTATGCTTTTAGCAGTCAGTTAAATTGCACATCATGAGTTCAATATTTAAAAAATGATTAAAAATATATTTACTCGATTAAGTATCCACATAAAAAGAGTTAATTAGTTATATTTTTATAACATGAAATTTTTCATTGTATTTACGTTTGAATGTGATTCTGTAAAAACTTCCTGATTAGTATCAGTGGTATATTTGGCACTATATAGTAGTAAATATTCACTAACCACCAGTAGTTTGGACAGATTCATATTTCAAATATTTAAAGCGATTTATTTACCATTGAATAATTAACTCTCAGTTGCCATTTAATGTTATTTTTACTGAGAGTTTCTTAAACTTCATAAGGAATTTGAGTACCTGAATGAAGACGAACCTTCCCATTGCTAGTACCTTCGCCAGGAGTTAAGGCATATTTAGTCTTCTTCACATTATGGATTTCATGAGTTAATCCACCTTTTTTCACTTCTAAACTCTTGTAAGTACTATATACAACGAACCAGATGTAGAAACAGATATTTATCAAAAAGATGACGATGAGTCCTACAAAAAAAAGGTTGAAGTTATAATTATTAAATATTAATGACATTTTTTTTTAATTATTTCACATACGTTCTGTTAAATCAGCTGTGCCTCCAAGAATAGCAATGAAAGGACAGTCTTGTTGGACTAAAAAGAGCGATAGGAAAAGTGCTACAATCGTTGTCATCATAACTGTCATCCAAGGTGCCATAAAATGTCGATTATTCTATAATGATATGAGGAAATTAATTTGTAATATTGTACAGCAGAGAAAAGGGTAACGTATATTCTACTAACTATTATAATTCCATAAAGGAGCAATAATGTTGATATAAAGTGAGTTACTGAGATAACTAATCCACAATACATTGAATAAACTTTTTCTGAAAATTAATAACGTTAATTGGAGAAACTATTATGAATTAAATTAATGAAGATTTTTTCAAATAAACCTGTAGCATGATGATGAGCAATATCCATTTTTTTAGTGTTTTGATGCATAGATGATATAGCTTCCATTGCTTCTCTTTCAAGTGCTTCTTCTGAATCTCTGGCAACCATCTCTTGAATGTCCATGGCATGAGCCAAAGCCAAGAGGAAAAAAGTCATAATAATTCCTGATATAAACTGTAAGAAAAATTACCGTCATCATTTTTGATTATATTTTATAAATTTATTCGTTTCTTGTCTATTGTATTAACTTACTAATTGTATGATAGCAATGAGAATAGTCCCTTGCTTCAAGTTGAAGCAGTGTAAAAAGTTTTTCAGTAATTTTATTTTCATTGTTACTGCTTATATTAAATTTTTATCAACACTCAACTTATTATATGTAGGAACTCTTAATTAATATTTTCCTTTAAACCTTTAACGAAAATAATTGTTATCATTGATGAAATTAGAATTGTTTCATTTATTATTGATTATGATGTGTAGTTTTGTTTGCAGACTGGAATTATTTTACCTCTTTCGTGGTCAATCAATACCTAAATGGTATCCCAGACGCTCGGAGAGTTGATAAGAGACGCACAGAGAGGATTGTTTTAAAAAAGCCGGCTTAAAAATGTATGAAAGTTCTTGAACTTAGTACACTATATTTATATTCGTTTTTTCACTTTTAAATCTATTTTTTGAAATTGAATTACAAAATAATTAATTGATGATATTTTTAGAGACAAAACGTCGATGACCCATGCATTCAGGTCGGACTTCTACCATATTATATCAAACTAGCAATTCTACAATATAGAGAGCTTCAGGACGAGTCATGCGCGTTGATTTTTTGCAAAATTTTTCGCATGATATATCTTGGTAATTAATTCAAATTAAGAAAAATTTTTTTTTAATGATAAAGATATTTAGAAGCAATTCTTGAAAGGTTACATTGAAAGTTTAACTACTTTCATTATTTCAATATTTTCATTTAAAAAGTAATAATTTCAAACTAATATTTCTCATGATAATAAATTTTTACATGTTTATTCAAAGAAAATTATTTTTTTTATATTTCAATAATTACCATCATCATAAGAATACATTTCTTTAGTTCCAAAACATATTTTTGAAAAAAATTATTCAATTCAAATAATGTCAGCAGTAGTCATAGAAACCAAATATTAAGTTACATGCTGATGCAGTATTCCATAAATTCACGTTCAAAAAATTTATGATCACCACCGATTCTCTTATATTTCAAAGACTTAAAAAATAAAAAACCAAAATTTAGTGAAAAAATTAAACTTTCAAATTGATATTACAAAATAACAATTTTATAAAACATTTTGTTGGTAAGAATATTGATAAATAGCAAATATGATGGAGCGAAGAGAACAAAGAATAGGTCTAGGGGTTGGAGCTTTTTTGAATCCTCCTCGAGCTAATTATAGTGAAGATACTCGAAAACTAATTAGAGGTAACAATCTTTTTCTGTTCATCATTTACTTTATGATAATATATAATTAATAAGTGTAAGAATTTTTTTCCATTGCATTATATCATAATTGTTTAAATATATTTAATTTATCTAGTCTTGATGGAAGAATCAAAATTATCGATGATACAAAGGAAATCTATTGAGAAAGCAATGGATAGAGGTGAATCGCTACCACCTCTTTCTAGGGCAACTTCTGCGAAAGCTATTAACACTACTCGTGTAAGTATTGATTTAATTCATTTTATAACACGCTATATGATTTTTATCAAAATCATTATTTTTCTCAAATAGTTTATTTTACTCAACTACCTTATCCTTTTATGTAGATTATACCGTCTGCTTACTGGAAAAGAAGATCTCAGGAAAGTATTTTAAACAGTGGAGCTTATGAAAGAGAACAATACAGACGAACTACTCCTTTACGTAAGTTACAAATGATCTGAAATGATTAATGTATGATCTATTTTTTAACTCGTTCTTTCTTATTTTAATTCAGCAAATAAAGAAAAACAAAAACGTGATTTAGCTTACATAATGGCTTATGGTAAGAATATGCCAGAAACTCCTCGTGGTCCCAAAGTTTTACATAAAGAATTCACGAAGCCAGATATTTTGCAAAATGATGATATTGTCAATGACTGTAAGTATTATAATTCCAAATCACACAAAAGTGTTGGTTGTGAAATAGGTGTATTGATTTTTTGATTAGTAATTCTAGGTATTCGTGAAAGAATGGAGTTTTTGAAAGAAATGGAACATTTAGGTCTTGGTAAAAAATATCAAGCAATCATTTATCAAGAGATCGCAGAAAAAATGAGAATAATTGATTCGATGGACAGTAAAATGTCTCTCCAAATTAAAAAAGAAATTGGGGAAATTTAAATATGAAAAACCTCTTCCAAAACCTTTACCATTTGGAGAACTTGATGGTATAATATAAGAATTTCATCACGATAAGAAAGTTACATAAATTTATAAGAATTGGTATGAATGCTCAGACACGTTTATTTATTTATTTTTTAATTTTTAAATCATCTATTTTGGTTAGATTATATTTTATTAAGATAATGATTGCTTTTAAGATAAAATATATAAATTGCAATAAAGAAATGATTAATCATTAAGTTAATGTCAAAAATCAATTCATCAAAAATTCACAGAGTGTAATATCTTTCATGTCCTTAATCTTTCTGTATATATAATGATCTATTTACATTTCATAATTATTTCCGTAAATGTATTTATATTTATCTCTCAACTTACATTTACTTCTTATCTAAAAGTTGTTACATTGTAGTTTTCTATTTTAACGAGAAATTACGAAATTCATAAAAATAGTTGCTCCGATTTTTTTTAAAAGTAATACTTGAGAATCATTTAAAAATTTTTTGGAGCCGCTGAAACGAGAAAAGCTGTTGAATACATATGACGAGTTCAGAAGTGACGTCAAGTTAGTTTTCAAGATGGCGAAACTCAGTAGATTGTGAGCACAAAGCTCTTCAATTCTTTCCGAAAAATCGAAGAAAAAAACATAATCCATAGAAATAAATATTTATAATAGAATGCTAACAATTTCTTTTATCTATTAATATAACAATATTATTCATTAGAAGTTATTTGATGCTAAAAATCTTCAACAAAAATTGTTGCCGTGAGAATTGAAGATGTTAGTATATTCGGTTTATTTAAACGATCCATAAGTGTGTTTTGAATAAGTAGTAATAAGTGATAGTGTTTTTTATAAAGTAAAAGTGCTAAAAATAAGAATAATTTTGACATGACTTACGCAACAGGTTGGCATCATTCAAATGTTTTTATCAATAGAGGTTAGTCAAATTCTCAGCTATATAATGTCATCGTTTTAGGTGCGATACCTCATATCTATAACATTTTTTAGCCTGACTTTTGCAAACGTTTTACTGAAAAAGAACACATTTCTACAAATTTTCAACATATATACCATAATGTATATTAAAATAATTATAAATATTAACTCATTTATTATTTGCATACATATTGTTATTTAAAATATAATACTTTGTGAATTCAAAATGATAGATTTTTTAGTAATGAGATATCACACTTAGGAGGATCATATATTTATTTTTATTTTTATCTACTTGTAAGAATTGTAAGAAATTTCACATTTTCTTTTATATGTGTTTGGCTAGCATTTATGTACTTTATTATTCAGTCAATTATTTCATTTAAACTATTATTACTCTGATTTGTGTATTCTTACTTTTTCAAGCACGCTTTTGGATAGTAAATGATTTATTACAAGAATTTTTTACAATTTATTTGCAATGAATATATTCTTTTAAAAGATTTTCAGATTCTAATTACTAGTAATAACAAAATAATTATACAAAAAATTTGTTTGTTCAAATAATTTAATTTTAAAATTTTCATGTGTCAAGAATTAAATGACGCCGATCATTTAGCTTAAGTATTTATTAACAAAGCTCAATTAAGAATCTGCTATCTACATGTGCAATTGCATCAATTGAGGTGTTAGATATCTCTGAATAGATTCATTTAATAATACTAAATTTTTTTATTTTCTTAGATAGCAAACAAAAAATTCAAGATAATCGATATAATACGTCTTTATAGATAGTGGAGAAGGTGGTTCAGTAGTAGAATGCCTGAGTTCATAGCTCCAGTACTCTACCCTGAGCATGGATCAAACTTCAGTGGTGGAAAACAAAGATAAAAAAATAGGCAAAGTGTTATTACACGAAATTTTGATAATTCTTAAAAGTTTGATCACATTTAATAACTGTATTATTTGATTTGATTATTGGATATCAATTTTATCTCATTACTTAAAAATGACAAGATTATTCAACTATTCTTTCAAACATTTTTAACCTCGAACCTTTTAAAGGTAAATAACCAGAGTATGTATATAAATTACTGATGAATATTCTTTGCTTTTATTGAGTAGCAATAAACTTATAGTATATCTTGTCAATATATAATTTCATGTTCATAGAGTTGTTTTTAACTTTATTTATCACTTGAATATTATTTAGAAATCATGATTACTAATTCTTGGATACATATTTGCCATTTTTTTTATTTGACAAATAACTAGATTCCCTGAAGTATCAGATTAAAAATGATGTTTTTTTTATATGCTTAGCTAACAAAACAAATGCTCAACAATATCTCATTGGGCGTAAATACCTCTCGCCAAGTATGTTTTATAGGTAATTTTCAATTAATTGTTTTTACAATTTAATCAATAATTAATAACATATAAAAATGGATAAAAAATAAATAAATTTTGTCATTAATACCATGTGCTAATTAAAAAAACTATTTTATTTAAAAATTATTGTTTATAATCAATCGGTATAGTAGAAGAAATGTTGAGGTTGGGTTCGATCTGTCAGTTTTTCCCCAAGAACTAAACAATGGCGGGTAAATTTGAATTGATTAAAATAAAAAACCAGTAATTATTAATATCTATTATACTATTAATTCAATCAGTATATTGCTTTATATCAATATGAATCAATTATCGGATATTATTGTCAAATTATCAATGAAAAAATTATTTTAATTATTAAACGATTGAAATACACATCTCTTATGTATATGTAGACGATTAATTCAAAAAACGTAATCAAGATGGATCATGACTACAGCGCCGGTGTTTTAGTTTTTTACCGTATCGTCTCGCCCTGAGATCGGAGCCATCTTGAAAAATGAAGTGTAATGTCTGCATGTGGTAAAAAGTGGGGACGTTTGTTAATGTGGTGCATTTCGATTGTGAAACCTGTCACAAATGGGTAAATATAACTAGTACTTGAGTGTTTAATTGTCACATAAATACAAATAATTATTAACTACAAAAAAAGAGCGAAAAAGGCGTACGGGCCGGTGTATCAGGAACTCGTTCGATCGCGAGTGAAGAACGGGTCTTGTGTCAACTTGTGGATACGGTTTTGCACTGGGTACACGGTCTTTGAGGCATTCTTTGTACCTTATAATCGAGTCGTTAAAAATGGCGCATAATCGTAGAAAGTGTCTCGAGTATAAACCGCGAGCTCCATTAATTTAATAATTTAAAAATATCATCTTTTGATAGTGGGTGCATTTTTGCCTTGGATTTATGGACAGACATGCTCAAGTCCCGTAATCCTGAATGGCTACCTACTTTCTAGGTTACTGACGGACGGAAGTCTGTTAAGCTTGCTATTAAGCCATATATTTTCGTTGTTAGTAGCCAAAAATTATCAATTGAATTATTTAATTGAAGTAACTCCATTTTTTTATTTCAATTAAATAGTTTGGATTGACAAAATATCTCAAAAAATAGCTTGATATATATTTTTTAAAGCTTCAAAGAAAGTTTCTTTCATTTTTACTACATTCATCTAATTCAAAAATATTCGATTTTCATATTTCATTATTCAAAATTTATAATTGTTTATTTGTTCAACAATATTATTTCTTCAACTGTTTAAATGTGAATTGAATATAAAAATTTTTAATTCATGTATTTAATGGAGTTGCTTCTGATAAAATTAGTAAAAAACTTATTTAAAATATTTATAATAAGAAAAAAAAAATTTCTATCAAATAATACTATGATTTTATAAAAAGTAATTATTGTTTTTGGATGATTTCAAATGGTTCTCAATCAAATATTCGATAAACTGGTTTTCAATTTATCGGCTTCATTTTAAACGCTTATAATCATTTTAGTGATGACCACACAAGCTGGAATCGAAATGAAACACAATTGTCCTGGCTATCGTGACAATACATTTTCTACCTTAGGTAAGGGTGAGCTGCTATTCTTCCTGCATCATGTATGCAACTGTCTGGCTACGTGAGTGACTTTGCTCGAATGGCACTTTAAGTAGTAAGGATATAAAAATATCAAAAAACCTGATGTTTTATAACATTTTAAGTGCAACACTTTCAATTCCAACTATAGGCTTTCAGCCAAACTCTTAACCCTATAAATTAATTTTTTTTTGTTGAAAACCTTTTTCTCATTTGCTCGTTCTTTTTTTTCACTTTCTATTTATTGCTTTCCTTTTTTTTTTATTTTGTTTGACTGGTTGGAAAAATCGGTGACCTCGGAGGCTGGAATTGACTCATTGCGAGGTCGAATCAATGGTGAATGAGTTTACTAGTCCCTTCACTTTCTGTTTAATTGTATTATGATATCATCATTTCTTCTTCTCAAGTGAAAATTTCATGCTTATATTAATTAATAAGAAATTGTCAAATTGTTATAATTTCAACCATTGAATTTTTTCTAACCAAAATCATTCCGTGTTTCGTAAATAATTCGATTATAACCGTTTTTGTGATGCAGATGATTGTCATAGAAAGTTCATCCGTTGGCAATTCCAGCTATCAATTAGAAAGCATTTTAGGGTAATTAGTTTATGAGTTATTGATGCTTCCAACGATAAGATCAACAGTCAATATTTCGATGTGATAAAATAACGGCGTAACTTGTTAAAATTAAATTATTTAATTATTGATTATATTTGATTGATAACAAAAAAAATTTTATAATTTAACAACATAATAATTAAAAAATTGGGAAATGATAGCGAAAAAGAAAGTTCAAATATTCATCTGTTAGCTGATAAAAAGATAAACTTTTGCACTACTTGATGAGTGTTCATCTTGATATTAAATTTTATTTTTAATTAAAGAAAATAACACTAGTTAAATATGTAACCACTTATGTGATTGATAAATATAAAATTATCTTATTAATTTCCAAGATAAGTGAAGTATTTTCATCTTTACATTTATTGACGTCATGAAGAGGTTCTACTGTGATTTGATAAGAAAACGTGTGAAATTGATTAATAAAAGTAAAGTTTTGTCAAGGTCAATTAGTTTTATCATGAATACACAAATTAATTAATTAGAACTGATTCTTTATTTGTTAAACTATTTTTACAACAATTTATTTACACATATATTTTTGATCTAAATTTTATATTATCTCGAGTATGGGTCAAAATATTTTATTTAATAGAAAAGGTTAACTGTTGTACTTCAATGTAATTTAGAGCTGATTAGATTTTAGTAAAATCATGTGAGAGACTTATCAAGTCTATTTATAGAAATAAAACCATTTTTTAAATCAATTCTTCAGACAGTGAAGTCTAGATCTGATGAAATAAATAACAATATCAATCACAAGATTTCTTGATATTGCAAAAAAAAGAAAAAAAGAAATGGGTTTATACAATAATACCAAGTTTTCTCCAATGGTCATTCAGTCTTAATGACACAGTCTTGAAAAACTTTCATGTGAAAATCATGAGTTAATTAATCAAGGTTATTTTATTTTAACGTAAATACAAAAGGAAGCTGACCTTTTTCCTTTAGTTGAAAACTTGTCTGAATT